GAGATTACTATTATATTAAGATGACAATAGCACATTTATCTAAGCAATGCAAATCTTAACATATTGGTATGTTGAGAGTTGAATTCATTAATATTCAAAATATAATTATATTCTCCCTCCCGGGACACTTCCGTATCATGCGCTTCAACTTAGATATTTGTAAAAAAATTTAAACTCTTGAAAATCCGCGAATTTTTTTTTTAAATCCGCAAAATTTTTTTCTTCTTCTTTTTAAAATGTAAACAAAAAGAACATGTTAGCAATTTAAATAGAAGATGGGCGCGAAGCTCCCTAAAAGCCTAGTACTTTAAAATTGGGAGACGACATTTAGAATAGCTATGCTTTTAATGTTGTAAATAGTTTCATTACAGTCGTTGTCGTATTTATCAATACAATACAGACGCCTTTAATTTCAATTTTTATTACCAGGCTTTCCAACAGCATGGATAAACAAAAACATACAAATAACGAGAAACTGTCAATTGTACAGCTTCTCTTTGTTCACTAGTAAACTTTAATTAAAAAAAAAAACTTGTCAGAAATAAAAACTTAAATCGAAAAGCCCCCTTCATTGTATTGATATAAACGCCGATCATGTTAATCGAACTATTTAAAGTGATGACCTGCGTGTAAAAGTCTGTACACTGTCGAGTCATGTTTCTTAAAACAACCTGTAAATTATTTACAAAATAAAAAACCTTTAAAACGCATTTTTTTAAAATTTTTATCATTCATAAACAGTCCCTGTGGTCACGTGATGTCCCAAAAAAAATTTGGGCCCGATCGGTTCAGCCGTTTTGACGTTTATTGGATACAAACAAACAGACACCCCAACAGACAAGCCAAATTTATATGTAGGTTTTAGTTCTCCTTCTCATTGTAGGTTGAAAAAGAAATGGAGAATGTTATACAAGAAGTTTTATACCTAGTATTCTATTACATTCTTGTACGCTCGATCAGACATTTCATTTATTTTTAAGAATTGTGAAGGCTGTTTATGGTTCTATAAATTTTGTTTTTCTGTATCCGATAAACGGCAAAACGGTGGAATCGATGATGCCCCTAGGAAAGGTTTATGAAAAATCAAAGGTAAAAAATTGGCCCTTGTTAAAAAATGTCGACATCGATTATATTTGAAATGCGCCAAATGGAACAGACAAATGGCGATGGAAAATGGCGAATTTTTAGAGCAACAGATAAGTGCTAAAGCTGTTAATGGGAAGTACCTTAAATATGGTAGTAGCCTTGAAATGTATAAATTTAAATGAGAAAAAAACTATAATTTTGTTCACCTAAAAGTTTGTCATTTCTTTAAAAAATATAGAAAATCTAAAAAAAGAACCTTAGCATAAAGTAGAATTGGCGCATTCGGGTTTTTGAAGAGAAAAAAAATTAACATTGAGTCTTATTCTTTACTAAACCAACCAAGGTCGGTTTTATTTTCATTGGCATTACTCCTTAAGTCGATCCGAAGATCTTACAGCTGTCAATCACGTGACAAAAGCTGTCGTCAGAGTTGGGTCGAAGATCAAGTCTTAAAGTCGGGTTTTATGGATTTGCGGGTCAATCCGAAGTTTTTAAAATGCTTTTTAGCAACATCAGCAAATGCTCCAAGATTGCAGAAAAAAACAATTCAGGGATAAATATAAATAAAATATAATTTAATTTAAAAATATATATATTTCAACAACAAATTTAGATAAAATAATGTCGTGATTGACTACAGTGATTTAACAAGCTTTAAATATTTGATAAATTGATATTTAATGATATTTTTTAAACGGATTTAACTGTAATAATTGCAAACAAATTAACAAATAACAGAGTTTAGGTTTGGCACCTAAACCACTCTGTAGTAAAAGGTTGAATCTGAAATTAAAGGGTGGATTTTCTCGCAAATATTAATAGTTGACGAATTTTATGAATAAGAAAAGCAGGGTTTGGAGGAAAATTATGTATTTTATGGATTTACATGTTTCGTTTGGTATTGGTTGGTATTGGTTTGGTTTTGGTTTGGTATTGGTTTGGTAGTGGTTTGTGATAGGTTTGGTATGGTTTGGTTGGTTTGGTATTGGTTTAGTATTGGTTTGGTATGGTTTTGGTTTGGTATGGTTTTGGTTCGGTATTGGTTTGGTATGGATTTGGTAAGGGTTTGGTAAAGGTTTGGTATGGGTTTGTTAAAGGTTTGGTAAAGGTTTGGTAAGGGTTTGGTATGGGTTTGGTAAAGGTTTGGTATGGTATGGCAAAGGTTTGTTATGGTAGAATTTTCAAAATTACATGTGACTAGTTACATTTGTACTTATACATTCCTAAACAATTTTCCAACTCTTGAAATAAGTAAATTGGACATTGTTCATTATAGTTTCATAATTTATGTATAAAGCTTTTTAGTCCAAAACTAATAAATTAGGCAAAAATTATCAACAAAACAGGATAGGAGGTTACAAACTGGTTTGCCCTGTTAGATGTACTATCTTAGTTTGAGCTGTTTTTGGGTGCCGTAGAACTAAAAAGAATATTTCTCAAAAGGCTTGAAACTTTTAAGAACTAATTACTTGCCTCATTATAAATGGGGTATCAGAGATTTGCTGTTACACCATCAGGTTGCAAAGATATAGGATTGCAAAGTTTAATTTTGAGTTTCCTTAAAATCATTAATTTTGGACTTTTGTAAGCTAACAGCTTTCTCTTTGTGTGCAGAGCAGATCTATTAGTTTAGTTATAGCTTAGTAGTTAATTAGGTTAGGAACAATGGTATCCTCTGATTCAAGTTTGATGGAAGGAGATGGTTTGTATTTTCCAGGATTCTTGGGAAGTGGGGTTGGACCTTCATCAGACCTTCCCTTTACTACTATCCTGGACTTGTAGTAGGAGGGAGTAGGTTGGGATTTATACGCTGGAGTTGGGGTGGTGGAGTAGGATTCAGACTGGTAGGGTTTTAGTGTGTATCCGTATGGAGCCGGAGAATAGGATTTGGATTTATAGATGGGAGCTGGGGTGTAAGATTTAGGATGATAGGTTGGAGCAGGGGTGTATAGTTTGTGTGCGTAATTTGGAGTCGGTGTATAGGACTTAGGAGCATAGACTGGAGTAGGTGTGTAGATTTTAGGAGAGTAATTAGGAGCTGGTGTGTAAAGTTTAGGAGCATATGTAGGAGTAGGACTGTAAGATTGTTTAGGACGGTTTACTTTAGGACCTGGAGGAAACCCAGTTGGACGGATTGGTAATGATCTATACACGGATAGTGGAGCAGATTCTTTCATGTCAGTTTCTTCAATTTTAGAAGGAATTATTGATGGTTCAGGGACGGAGGAGGGTTTAGAAGTAGGTTTAGAAGGAATTATTGATGGTTCAGGGACGGAGGAGGGTTTAGAAGTAGGTTTGGAACTGGGGGATGATTCCAAAGATCTTGACTCTAAAGTTTGCGAGGGTAAATCAGATATTTTCTTGATTGTGGATTTATACACTGAATGAGGAGGTGGCTGCTGGGCAGCAGGGTGATACACGGCAGGGGTCAGCTGGTGTACTGAATTTGGGTGGTGTTCAGACTTAGGGTGGTGTACTGACTCGGGATGGTATACTGGCTCAGGGTGTTGTACTGACGTTGGGTGGTGTACTGACACTGGGTTGTGTTCTGGCTCAGAGTAGGCCTGATGGTATAGAGGTTTTGGAGGATATCCTTGATCATGATGTGGTTTATGATCTGGATGATCTGGATGAGGATAGTGAGGTTCACCTTCGTACTTTACATCTGCATGGTATCCTTCATCATCAGCATAGTAGGTCACAATCTGAATAAGAATAATTAGTTTTAAATAGATTATGGTATGCAAAAAAACTAGCAACATTTAACCATATTATCCACAGTTCAAAAATTTCAGACGCTCTAATGATTACGCAAATGCATGTACTAAGCACGGATGATGCGTAAGGATGAGAACGGACAATGATACGTTTTAAGACGCAGTTTTTGAGAACCCTTTTAATTAGACAATATTGAGAACACTTATCATACCAATCACGGGCAGCCGTAGTACATTTAAATTTTGGAGCCGCGTCAACATTGGCTAAATAGGACTTGCCGGTGCAACATGGTTGACGTGGTCAGACTTTAGGTTGAATTTACTTTTACTAAAGGGTCTGGGGGGCGTGCAATCTTTTTTATGATTTGAGCCAGTACAACATGTACTTTACATGCATTCAGCCGTACTGACTAGTCTTGACTACCCAGTTCAGAGATGACCCCCCTATTTAACAAATTTCGTATTTTACCAACGGTGCGTAAATACCCCTATTTTTTGTAAAATACTCGTACTCAAATCCGAAAAATGTTCGTACTTTTGGTAAATTTCTCGAAAAATACGTAAAATATACAAATATCTAATTGCGTAAAATTTTGAAAAAAACGGTTCGAAAATTTCTCGTAAAATTTACTAACATATTCACGTAAAACTTTGACAAATTTTTTTTGTAAAATTTTTCGAAAAACTTTTTCATATCTATTTATGTCATTGTAATGGGTATTATTAAGTGCGAAAAAGTTTTTGCCGGGATTTTTACTTTTTCTAGTTTGTTGGAGATTAAAATGAAAGTACTTTCACACCGAACGTAGTGAGGTGTGAAAATACTTTCATTTTAATGAAACTACATTAGATGCCACTAGATGGCTCTAGTAGTGCTAGTTTAAAATCTATGTATGAATGAATGTACTTACGTTTTTACAAATTTTTCTTCATAATATTTTCTAATTTACATAAAGCTTTAATAAACTTAATTATCTGTTTAATATTTTTTTCAACTGCATCCTAGGGCAATATACTCACAGAATCGGGAGGGGGGTTGAATCTCTAAATACTCAGAGCAAGTTATTTACAATTATAATTATACTTCACAGGATCAGATTTGAAGTAAAATTGACAAGATTCCTGTCTGAATCTTGAAACCGTACTCAGCCATGACGTGACACATGGCCTGATCAGGGGGTGATTAAGTTACTTTTTAGCCCTGTTGTAGGGTGATTAAATACCTTTTTCGCCCTAAAACGGGATATATCAGGTGTGATAAAATCTCTCAAAATTGAATAAAATACTTAAGAAAATTTTACAGAAACTTTTAGAAAAATTTATTAAATATTTTAGCAATTTTTTCGGAAAATTAAAAAAACAATTCGAAATATTTAGGTAAATTTTACGCAAAATGTTCTAGAAATAATTGGTAAATTTTTACGGGATTTTATTCGAAAATGTTGCGCAAAAATGGGATCGTTTTTACGTAAAATTTATGTATTTCATTTGCGTAAATTTTGCGAATTTTGACCTAAAAATACGTGTAATTTGGTAATTAGGGCCTGTACGTTTTATGCAACAAATATAGCGGCTAGCCTGACAAAATTATAATGACATAGTTAGATACTTAAATTACAATTTTATATAATAATTACAATATTATATTATTGCTAAATAAAAAAGCTTGATATTTTTAAACATTGAAAAATTTTCAGCATGAGAAATTGATTTGATAATTTTACTTTCTTAACAACTTCAAATTTTGGTTACATCCAAGGTTTGCAAATAAATATATTTATCCCACGGTAAATTAGAAGTCCTTGGTAAAGTTCAGTAAGCCTCATCTTTAGAACCCATTTTTACCCGTTAAATGAAGATTATAGTATTTGCTATTTTAAACTTGTTTTGCAGACAAACAGGATGTACTTCGCTAAAATCAGATTTATGTGAACCAGGATTTGAATTCTAAGTTCTATGCTATAAAAAGTAGACAAAATTTTTTGTTATCAAGCAAACTACTAAAATGCAGATTGTTAAACTTATTTCATAATATTTGAATCTGTGGTTTAGAATGGATACGATTATTAAAAAAAAACCGATTCTTATTTGAAATAAATCGTTTTTTTTTTGTTGTCGTTTTCATAAAGAAACGATCGTTTTTTAAAAAAATGAAAACGATCCATCCCTAGCATTTGTAATAATTAGTAATTTCGAAATTTTTTAAAAGTTTAGGTTTGATAACAATATCAATTTTAGTAACGGTGATAACAGAAAAAATTTCAAAAATCGTTAATATTGCCAGCCGTTAATTAGCTATTAAATATTTTTTCTTTCAAAAACATCAAAACGCGTAAAAATACTAGTTTCTAGTATCTAGTTCATTATTTATACTAATCATAATTTTTTCAGTTACAGCTAATTCCGTTTATATCAATTAAAAAATTATTGGTTTTTGCCGTTCGTTAACGGACTCTTGTAAGCCCAAACATACAATTCCTCATGGGGAAGGATGAAATGGTAGTTAATCTTGAGTAAACGTAATAATCAGTGCACGCCTCAAATTGATCTAACACCGTAGCTACAATATTGATATTGATAAGACACCGGGTGACTTTATGAATGAATTGTATTGATCACCCTCCACAAACTGCAATTTTCTAATCCCTTTATCTTTGCAACCTTAGAAATTTTATACTTTATAATGTAGAAAAAATTTACAGTTTGATATTTTAAAGTTCTCCGATCTCAGGATGATCATACAGTCACTCCTAATCAGATAGACCAGGAATTAATAGACAATTAATCAACCGACTTTACAACCTTTGACACAGTTCACGGGATTTATTTCTAAATCTAATCTTATAGATATGATTACTGCAAAAATATTCACATAATAGCCCTTCGCCTGTCAGTTCCAAAATGTGGTCTGCCTTATTTTGTGCGTTCAAAATCACAAGAGATACTAATGATTACTTTAAAAACAAAATTGTTTTTTCGTTTTCATAAATTCAATAAAATCTTGACAAAATTCTTTATATCTCTGGTAATTTTGAACCCGCAAAAAGGCAGACCACATTTTGAAAATGGAAGGACTATTTTTTGATTAGTATTAGATTGAAAAATAAATGCCGTGAACTATTTTAGAGATTAAAGACGATGGAAAAGTCGTCTGTTTAATTGACAGTTAATTCACAGTCTTTCTGATTAGGACTGTATTGGAATATTAGTTTCAGTTTCAATTTGACTAAAACTAATTTTCCATTCAATTTTTCCGTCTCAAAGTTTAAAAAGCCGTCGCAGAAATCTTATTAGAACACCCCAATGCTAAACTAGGAACTAATTTTAATTGATATTATTCATTTTGGCAATATTTGTTTTTTACGTATTTTAAGAAATGTTCATAAAATGTTTAGAGTAACTTTATAAACGTAAGTTAAAAAATCTTTTATTTAAAGAATGGTATTTTTGATTCTCCCATTAAACCTTTGTCTGATCAATGTATTGAAAAATGTTTAAAGCATTGTTTAAGAAAATAAATCATTTCTCATCGAAAAGACGGTTTATATTCCGCTTTTTGCGGGTTTCTACTCTCTAGCTTGGAAACTCCGCTTTGACTGGAAACTTTACTTGTTCTATAAAATCAACCAAGTCAACTTAGAATGAGCTATAATTAGATATAGAAACAAACAATCACGCAATCATTGAGATAACTATTTTTATATATGCCAGCTTGGAAACCTTTGACAGGAAAATATTTCTTTCTCTTGAAAAGTCAACGCACTCAATTTAGGATTTTTAAATGAAGCAAAGAACATTCCCGTGATTCAACCGAGTTCCTTAATCAAAAAGTTAGGGGGTTAAAGGGTTTCTGAATTATGATTTGACATCCTAACAGACAGACAAACAGAGATTTTTACTTCAAATATATATAAGATTGAGAACCTTCGTCCAAGGGTTGTCACAACTACCCCAGCCGTTTACCCTGCATCCGAAACACTATTATTTAAAGTGATTGTTACAAAAGGCTATAAAACAAAGAGAAAATATCCCCAAAAGAGCAATTTAGATATATAATTTTTGTTTATTGAGCTGGTCTTAAAAATTGGACAAGTGACATTTTGAACTCTATAAGTCAAAATCATAGCATTTTTTAGACAAAAATGGCCCAACAAGGAAAGGGTTATACGATAAAAATTGTTCTTCCACGGAACCATATTTAATGAATTTCTGGAAGTAGTTGAATTACTCAGAAAAATTTAATCACTTATATTCAACTTGATCCACAGACATCCTTGTATCTCTCTATCTATCTGTCTATGTATATATCTATTTCTCTATCTATCTATATATCTATATATCTCTCTCCATATCTATCTATCTATTTTTGTTAGGGTGCCCCAAAACGAGCAAGGAACTTTGATATATGTATGCATAATTTCAAATTCTAGACCAACTGAAGACAGGGTTGCCAGCTTCCAAAAGAAAGGAAAGAAGAGTTGCCAGCTTCTATAAGAAAGAGAAAGACAAAGTTTCCTGCTTCCAAAAGAAAGGGAAAGACAAGGTTGCCAGCTTCTAAAAGAAAGAGAAAGACAAATTTGCCAGCTTCTAAAATAAAAGGGAAAGACAGGGTTGCGAGCTACTAAAAGAAAGAGAAAGACAAGGTTGCGAGCTTCTAATAGAAAGGGAAAGACAGGGTTGCCAGCTTCTAAAAGAAAGAGAAAGACAAAGTGGCTAGCTTCTAAAAGAAAGGAAAAGACAGGGTTGCCAGCTACAAAAAGAAAGATAAAGACAGGGTTACCAGATTCTAAAAGAAAGGGAAAGACAGGTTGGCAGTTTCTAAGAGAAAGAGAAAGATAGGGTTGCCAGCTTAAAAAAGAAAAGAGAAAACAGGGTTGCTAGCTACTGAAAGGAAGACAAAGACAGGGTTGTTCTAAAAAGAAGTGAAGGGAAAGACAGAGTTGACAGCTTCTAAAAGAAAATGAAAGACAGGGTTACCAGTTTTTAAAAAAAGGGAAAAACAGGGTGGCCAAAGTTTAAAAGAAAAGAAAGAGAAAGACAGGGTTGCCAACTTCTAAAAGAAAGGGAAAGACAGGGTTGCGAGCTACTAAAAGAAAAAGAAAGACAAAGGTGTCAGCTTCTAAAAGAAAGGAAAAGACAGGGTTACCAGCTACAAAAAGAAAGGATAAGACAGGGTTGCCCTAGCTCCTAAAAGACGGTGCATTTGCAGGCTATTAAAAGCAAAGGTTTAGACAGAGTAATAATTCCAATATTTAAAAAGAACATAATTATTATTCTTTACCTGCATTCTTCCATCAGGCAAGGCTACTCGGTACTCCCCTTCCGTCATATATCCATTCCTTAACAATCCTTATTAATATTCATTCCTAGAAAATCATTATTAATATCTAGTCCTAGACAATCATTAATATTATCAGTCCTAGATAACCATTATTAATATCCATTTCTAGATAATCCTTACTAATATTCATTCCTAGACAATCATTATTCATTATCAATATCCATTTTTGTAAAGTTTTGTGCAGTTTTAAAATACTATTTACATTTAAGATGTCTTTTAAAACTTTACTTTCGCTTATAAAGGTTTTGGGTAGCACAATTTATCAATTAAAGACTTTATGGAAGTAAAGTTTTTGCTCTAAATATTTGCCAATATTCTTAATTAAGCTATATTTAATTAAGAAACGGGTTAATTAGGAACTAAAAATATATGTTTATCATTAATGAATCATTAATGCAAGCATTGTGTACAATATACACACGACTAGGGACTGTATCATTGAAATCGTGATTACATTTTAATTATGATTAAAACAGGCGTTGTTTATCCTGCTTATGCTTTATCATTATGATAAAATTGAACTAAAAATACTTCATACATCGTTAAAATAAAAATATAATAAAAACAGAACATGCCCTTATTCTTATTATTATATTTCAAACAAATACATACAGGGGGATTAAAGAAAAGGACCTTTTTATTGACGACTGCCAGAAGCGTAGACAGGATTTTGTCCAGGGGGGGGGGGACTTTAATACTTGAAACAACCCTAGAACTCATAGATTTCACTAATATATGGGGACTGAACCCCAACAGCCCCCTATTTATGCTAGTCTCCAGTTAAAGCTGAGTTTCCATAAAAGTTCTTAACATATTTCAAGGGACTTCTTATGCCGCATAAAAAGTCTTATTTTTTTGGTTAACCCTGTACATATCAAATTTACCCAGAAAAGGTTGAAAAAAGGTTGCCCCCTCCCTTCATATTCATTTAAAATACCTTTTACATATGTTAACGGAAACATTAAAAGGTTTGTATGAGGTATTGAACATAAATCAAGTGGAATAAGGGCGGGGAGACATCTTGGCTCTATGGGTGTTTTGTGAAGTTTTTACAAACAAGACTATATAGACTGCTGGGATTACTATAGCAGACGATTAGCATTGGCAGTAGACACAAACAAACATATTCAATTCATTGCAACATGGTTTACACATGGTTTACATATGGTTTACACATGGTTTACACATGGTTTACACATGGTTTTTACATGGTTTACATATGGTTTACATATGGTTTACACATGGTTTACACATGGTTTACATATGGTTTACATATGGTTTACACATGGTTCACACATAGTTTACATATGGTTTACATATAGTTTACACATGGTTTACACATGTTTTACACATGGTTTACATATGATTTACACATGGTTAATTTATGGTTTACATATGGTTTATACATGGTTTACACATAGTTTACATTTGATTTACACATGGTTTACACATTCATATGGTTAATTTATGGTTTACATATGGTTTACACGTGGTTTACACATGGTTTAAACATGAATTACATATGGTTTACACATGGTTTACACATGGTTTAAACATGGATTACATATGGTTTACATGTGGTTTACATATGGTTTACATATAGTTTACATTTGGTTTACTTATGGTTTATACGTGGTTTATATATGGTTTACACATGGTTTACACATGGTTTAACCATGGTTTACATATGGTTTACATATGGTTTGCATGTGGTTTACACATAGTTTACATATGGTTTATTTATGGTTAGTATATGGCATACACATTTTACAAATTTTACCTGCTTTCTTTATGTGAAAAATCTTCTCCCATATAATCATCCTTCACAGCATATCCAAACTCATAGTTATGCGGGGACTAAACAGAAACAAAATATATTTATTCTACTCTAAACAAACAGGGTGTCTATCAGTACTGGAGATGTCTTGAATATAGAAGGCAGAATTGTTCTGCCGTGGTTAAAACTTTCATAGATTGTAAATATATTCTTAACTTGCCTGAGCTGAGATATTTGTAAAATATGTTTATAGAGCAAATGACGTGCTTACTCATAGAACAAATGTTGAGTAGAGCAATTGAACCATCACAGTCATAAAAATGTTTATAGAGCAAATGACGTGTTATGTCATAGATCAATTGACGTATAGAGCAAATGTCGTGATCTATGAGCTATAGAGCAAATGGTTAATAGAGCAAATGGAACTAGAGAAAATGGCCGTAGAGCAAATGGAATTAGAGCAGATGTCGTAGAGCCCTAAATTAAAAGGTTCAACAAAATTAGATTTTTTATTTGTTTTCATTACACTATGCCAGAGTTTGGCTCTGATAGATAATATGATCTGCTGAACACAAACCAAAAAATGAGAAAAACAGACACTTCACGACAAAAACATAATTTGTATAATATTTTAATTTATCTTAGGGAGTGTTCACGAAAAATGAAAGTGGGTATAGGCTTAATGCGATAAAAAAGCGTTTTTGATTGCTACTAATCTTATTTCTATCTGTTGCGTCTATAAGGAGAAAATTGTTAAAAACGATTTACACCGAAATATTAACTATGTACGAATGCGTCGAAAAATAATCGATGACTACTGTTTGCAATATCTGAATGATTTGTTTGGAATTAAATTGATTTGTGATCCGAGTTCAATGTCGCATCTTTCTGAATTTGTATGGACACTAGGTTCTTCGGTATTAGTCGTTTTTAACAATTTTCTTCTTATTAGACGCAACAGATATAGTAATATTAATAGCAATCAAAAGAGCTTATTTTTCGTCGCAAGCCTATACCCCTTTTCATTTTTCGAGAACACTCCCTTTAAGATAAGAATATTTCAAAGTTTAATAAATGCAAACTTTAAAAAACTAACCAAAAAGATAATCGATTCTAATTACATGGCACTTGTAATGCAGGGTGTCTCTGATACGGCTTTTTAGCTTACTAAACATTGTCGTATAATATTAAAAAAGTGCTTCTAGTTGGTACAATCCCCATTAACGTTTCATCAAATTAAGTAAATTGTGTTAAAAAGAACACTTTTTAACACAATTAATCGATATTTAGTTGGCTAAAAAGCCTAAACACGCACTTTTCAGAGACACCCTGTATTTTATACGATGGTAAACAGAAAATAGTGAAATGATTTTTTAACAATTGTCGCTCAGGGTTTTGTGACTAGTATGTGTCCTTACTGACATATTCCTAAAATATCAAGAGGGATTTAATCGTTAGCTGCTAAAAATCCAGATTGCTAGATCTCGATATCCAAAGTGGACACTTTTCATTTCAAGGATCAATGCTTAATATCTTCATTTTATTTAGCCCTTTAGGGTATAATTTCGATGCGAGAATAAAAACAAACTAAAGTAAAATATTAGAGGTATTGAGAAGAAGAAAATTGTTTTGAATTTTTAATACATAACCGGATAAAGTTGATTTCTAATATATAACCGGATAAAGTTGATTTCTAATATATAACCGGATGAAGTTGATTTCTAATATATAACCGGATAAAGTTGATTTCTAATATATAACCGGATACAGTTGATTTCTAATATATAACCGGATAAAGTTGATTTCTAATATATAACCGGATGAAGTTGATTTCTAATATATAACCGGATAAAGTTGATTTCTAATATATAACCGGATAAAGTTGATTTCTAATATATAACCGGATGAAGTTGATTTCTAATATATAACCGGATAAAGTTGATTTCTAATATATAACCGGATGAAGTTGATTTCTAATATATAACCGGATAAAGTTGATTTCTAATATATAACCGGATACAGTTGATTTCTAATATATAACCGGATAAAGTTGATTTCTAATATATAACCGGATACAGTTGATTTCTAATATATAACCGGATAAAGTTGATTGCTATTTGTAAAATTGAAACTGAAGAACCATGAAGTTGAAACAGTGATATAGATTTAACAAATTAGCATTATGCTTCTGTCTAGTTATTTTTTCTCTGGAAATAAATAAAAGATCGAGATCAAGCATTGCAGATCTCGATATCCACAAATACAAAAGCTCGCAGCCCAGATAACAATTTTCCTAAATAAGCAAGATCAGCTTTATGCCTAAATTTTTACTTTGCTGGTCTAGGTGTCTCTTAAAACGGCTGAATTGTTAGGGTCAAAGTTTGTGTGTGTGACCTCACATAACCCCACGGAAGGTATTTAGAACATCAAAATTTTGGTAAAATCCTGGAAAATAGTTTATAATGCGCCAATTCAAAAAAATCTGCCAAAATTAGAAAAATTATTTAAAAATGACCTATTAATTATAAGGGGAAGATGTTTTTATTGCTTGAAAAGTGTTTAATTCTAATGATTTCCTTTGTTGTTTCCCGCGGCGGAGTCACAATAAAAAAATATTTTTAAAGATATAAACCTGGATATCTAATTTTTGATTGATCAGACAATGGAAAATATTGTGAATTGAACATACTACTCCATATATATTATTTACTTCCGACTAGATACTACACTCATATTTCTGCTTAATTTGAAACAATAGGTTGGGAAGGTATATTATTTAAATACCAGAACATATAGAAACAATTATAAACACAGAATATTTTTTAGAATCTAATATTCTAATGCTCGCTTCGTAGAAACCTTTTGTTAATGTATTGTCTGTTTCATTGTATGCGGGTTAAGTCTTTACAATTTAAAAATTAACTAAGATTTCTTTAAAATACTTAAAACCGTGGAACTATGTTGTACAATTCCGTTTATGTTTTTAACCCTGGATAAACTCTTACTTTTTACCAAATTAAGGCACTCATCAAATTCTGATTAAATTCAAATTATTACATTTTCGAGAAAAAAAAAAATTTCTTAGTTTAACTGTAGACTTAAAATATTTGTTCGTTGAATTCGATTAAAGGGACCGTTCACTTATTTGGGTAATTTTAGGGTAAACTAAACAGCCTATTCGTTGTTGATTGGTAATAGTCTTACTTTTCAAAGACAACTGTGGCCGGAGAAAAAGCCGATTTTTCGTTCAGAATTTGAGCGGAAGGGACGGTCCCTCTCTATAGACACATTTGATTGTTTTTTTCGTTAAATTCGATTAAGCGCCATGAGATGCTACATTTACTTTATAATTTGAATGACTTGGACATAAAATTTGAAGGCTTTACAAATGTTTGAAGTCATTATAAGCTTATAAATTCAAGATGAAGTGCCCTGCGCTGCCCGTAAAATCTAAAAATCTGTTGTCCAATATTTCGATTTTTTTAGCCTATTATACCCCCCTGGCACCCATAAGTTGCCTTAAAAAAATTTCAGCCAATTTGTTCCAGCTGTTTGGCCAGTTATAGCTAACATATTTAAGTACAAGTATGTATATATGAGTGAAGATCTTTATTATATAAACTATAATCTTAGTTCAAGGTATAATCCATCTTTAACCAAGTATATATTGTCAGCTATGTAACCCTGTTAAACTGTACCCGCACATTATCTTTACTTTTTATATCATCAATAATACTATGGTGAAGGAGTTTCATGATCCGGGTTGCAGGGGGGGATACCTCCCCTGAAAATGTAGAAACTTTAGTAACTATAAATCCGGGGAGGAGGGGGGGGGGGGTCTGTCCCTAACGGTTACTGAGCCCTTCTTTTTACCATACTAGGTTTGTCATTTCTCTTATTATTCCTTTATATTTTGTGTTCTATTTTACCGTGCTTTTGCTTTTTTACTCAGTCTTTCTTACACACTTCGGGTCTACATTGGAAATCAATGATCTTTTTGTAAGATTTCGTTCCTTTTTGTAATATTTCGTTCCTTTTTTCCTCGACCACTCTCTATTGTTAATCTTTTTGCCTTTTTTCAAGGTTTATTCCATTTTTGACCTCACTATTTTTGAAGAAAAAAATGCATTTTTGCATAAAACTTGCTAATCCAATTTTTAATCGTTCAAACAGCGAAAGCTAAAAATATAAAAGGTATGCAAAATCATTTTGCAAAGATATAAGGTTATGAAAATTAGAATTTGAGTCAAAGTTTATGTTAACAGTCCTTTAGAGGGACTGTACGTGTGATTTCAAGTATCCCTCTCTGTAAAGATGACAATCCCCGATAATACTATGCTTGAAACCTTTTATTGTGTTTAATTCTAATAAATTCTCAATGATTTTCGGCAGTAGAAATGCACAAGTCAATTTATAGAGAAACAACAATTGAAAATAATCATTGTTAAAAAATCAAAATAATTGATATCTAATTCATACTGAATCAGATTAAGCTTTTAAGGGTACTGTTGTGAATGGGCCGCCTAGAATTACACGTTTAGTCCCTTTAAATTATACTTACATTACAATTAACATGCTTTTCCTTGAAAATTACTTAAATCATGTACGAACTGGTTAAATACTTTAATCCTTTAAAAATATTTTTGTTTCATTTGAATTTTTTTGACCCACCAACGATTAACTAAAAAAAGATAAAAATGCTTTTTTGTTAATTTACCTCATCTTTGTATTTGTGACTGGGATAGGATGAAAGGGGGCCGGAGGGGTCATAAGAAGGTTCTAGATACTGGGATCCGGGGGTGTAGGTTGGTCCAAGATGATGGGGGGCAGGGGCGTAAGTAGATCCAAGATGAGGGGGTCCCGGGGCATAAGAAGGACTAGAATGAGGGGCTTTAGGTAGCTCATGACTAACAGTGTTGAGTCCAGAGACAAGAGCGAGGCCCCCGAAAAATACCTGAACAAAACGAATTAGCGATTTGTATGAACATCCCTCCTCTCCCCCCCCCTCCTCTTTCCACAACCACCCCCTCTCTCATCACCCCTTGATATGCAGGTATGCGGTATCTCCCCGCGCGCATCCCACAATTTGCAAATAATTAAATTCCAACCACAAAATAAACTCGATTCAAAGCTTGAACTTAAAGGTAGTGATCACCAACATACGTAAATAAAAGGAAATAGTTTTATTTTATTTTGCAAATTATTTACAAAGTAAATCTTCTTTACTAAAATGGATCTGCGACCTACTAAATAAAAATAGATTTTGGCGAACTCCCCATTTTCCAAGATGCCCCTTAGGATCATCTTTGACATGTTGACAGTTTCATTCAACACTTTGACACCTTCCACTACCCTGTCTTTATCAATTATACATCTGAGTCAACACTCAACATGAATTGGACGAAATTATACACAAAACAATGCTTCCTTGATCAAATATAACAACTTCAAACTTTGTTTGACATAATTTTTACAAAAGTTAAGTTTTTAAAAATTAATTTGCATTGAAAAAAAGGTTAATTTTAACGATCAAAATAAAAAACTAAATAAATTCATTTTTGCCGCCGATTTTTTTTGGCGCTATTGATTTTAACTCAAGAACAATGAATACGACTTTTGATTGCAATTTTGATTTAAAGCAAGCTTTTAAACACCATGGATAAACACAAGAGAAGCTGCCAATTAAACAGCGTCTCATTGATTCTTGTAAACTTGTAATTCGAAAAAATTGTATTAACAATTCCTAATAAAACAAAAAATTGTCTTTTAATTATTGAAATGATTCCGTATCACTGTAATCTCTGAAATGAAAATCTGACAAACAAATTAATAACTTTAAAACTGAAATTCTTTTTTAATATTATACAATTTTTGTGATTTGTAATTTACTGATGTTGCTATTTGTTTTTATTTCAAAGACACATGTATGACAGGTTATTGTGAAGATTGATTAGTTTACCAGTTTATTCCACATGCTTACTCTCAAGAGTTCAAACCACAACTGATAAATTAATGTTGGGACGTTTTCATTGTAAACATATGTATCTACGTGGTAGTGCATGACATATGTTGTTCTACGCAGTTTAATGGTAGGGTGATGTTGTATAAGCACTGCCTATTTCAAACAGCTTCTATATATATATATATACAGTTGAAATCTTTGTTTGGGTGTCTGTTTGTTTGTTCGATCAAAACTCAGAAACCCCTGGACAGATTTGCCTCAAATTTTGATTGGGGAACTCGGGAGAGTCAGGGGAGTGTTCTTAGCATGGTTTTCAGATTCAGTGAGTTGACTTAAATAGAAAAAATTTAGTTTCCTGGTAAGATCGCTCAAGTACGTGCAGGTAAACTGCACGGAATAACTTAAAGTAACCTTGGCAGTGCTGGGTTCTCAAGCTAGTACATATATTATATATTACATTGTAATCGCTGTTTGTATGTATGTACGATCATAACTCATAAACCTCTTAACCGATTTGCCTCAAATTTGTATCCCAGAACTCGAACAGACATGGGTCTAGTGTTAAAGAGAAAAATTGCTAAAATCGTAATTTACTACGAAGCGCAGGTAAACGGCGAGAGTAAATATGAGTACCTTGGGCAACGTTGGGTTCCCAAACTAGTTATTTATATTTTTGTCTTTTTTGTGAGTCTGGGAGTAAATCATCATCATTGGAGTACATCAGAAACAGGAAACCCCCTTTCATCGGAGACTCTCTTGACCATTTTATCGGAGACCCACCGAATTTGTATTGAAGACCCATCGCTTATCATTGGAAACACCAATCCTTTTGTTTGAGACCCAAAGCGTTTCTTTGGAGACCCAAAGTTTGTATTGGTAAGCCCAAAATTTTCTAAAGACAGCCCATATTTTAATCGCAGATCTACAGGTTTTGTCGTATAGATTTTTACTTGAGGTCTACAACAGTGCATTGGAGAGGCACAATCACTTAAATAGTTTTAAGAAACGAACAAAAATACTCCCTAGCACTAGATGGAAGTTGTAACCCACCCAGGGAAGAAAAACAAGGGAAGACCAAAAACAGGGTGAACCACGAGACATTATTAATCTTTTTGGTATCCAACAACTTAAAAAACCATAGAGTAAGACATTTAAAACTATTCACTAACTGCCATGTTACGTGGGACACACTGTGCGACAAAACAAACAAAACTATGTCCCTACTCCCTATTACTATAGTATATTATTCATAATAGGCCTGATCCAGAACACTTCTTAGACAAAACTAAATGAAAATGTCGTCGTTTCAGTTTTACACTGTCGTCATAAACACACTACTAGGGTTAAAGAACACAGCCTAATTTGTAAATTTCGTCCAAGCCACCTCGATATTTTGGACTGTGAACTGGCAATGACGAGAAAATGAGAAGAATGTGGCTTTGACGAGGTTTTGTTGGGTGATTGGCCTTCCTTCCCTCCTTTCCCTGAATTAAATCAACAATGTGATTTTCGAACTGTTAAATGATTAATACAATATATTGGATTACATGCTGGGTTACCTACCAAGGATAAGATTGTAAAGACAACGTCAAACTCTTAGAATATGACAAATCTACGATTAAGTCTTCTGCCTGGAATATAGTTTTAATGGCTTATTTAATGGTTTGGGGAAAAGAAACAAGTTTACAGTTTCGGGGAAACAGTCATTATATATTTTGTACAGTCGTCTCTGAAGTCTCATCTTTTGTGAATGACCCTGTGACATTATTCATATTCATTGGCACTATCTTGAATAAAACTGAGTGAAAATGTCGTCGTTTAAGATTTTAAATTTATACCTCACTAGCTGAAGTGCCCGGCGTCGCCTTCAGAATTAAAGAGAAATAAAAAGAATTTGAAGAAAAATGTGAAGGTACAATTTAATTTTAAAAAAAAATTTAGCATTTTTTTACTTTTTTTTATCCTTTGTTACCCCTCCGGGATACCCATGGGTTCTTTTAAAAAATTTCAGCCCATTCGGTCCAGCCGTTTGGCCGGCTCAAGGGAACTATAGATATAAGAATGTCTTGTTTTACACAAATATATCTCATATCTTATTATAAATTATCGTATAGATTCTTTTTTGCATATTTACAGACAAACATTAAATTTAGTAACTTTAGAGTGAATTAAAAAACAATCAAAGAAGCAATTTCACCATTTGTCATTTATATTAAGTTGTCATATCACTTTACTTTAAAAAGGACATCCCAATAAACAGGACTGTGAGAGTGAAATACGATGGTAGGCAATTTCATATAATGAAGACGACTTTTTTACTAAATTTTTAAAAGTTAACAAGCTTTTTTCGAATTACAAGTTTACAAGTAATTAAAGAGAAGCTTTTTTAATTACGCTCTTTTTCCATTTTATGTGTATTCATGCTGTTTACAAGCTTGTATCAAATCAAAACAGAAATAGAAAGTCGGCTTCATTATATTGATAGAGTCGCTTACCACTGCACTATAGTTTTTAACCTACAAACGAAAACTAATTTTTTAAATTTTTCTTTATTTAAAGCAATATATTTCGTTGAGAAACTTCCGCAGCGATTATTTTTGTTCTTTCTTTCATGATAAATTCTACAAAGTTGAATACAGTCTTTTTAGCAGAATAAAATATAAAATATTTTCACAAGTTATTAAAACACAATTTTACTAAAATACAGTGGTCGGCGATTATATCATTACAATGCAGACGACTTTTTATCAAAGTTTTGATTGTTAACAAGCTTTCTTCCAATTTGCAAGTTTACGAGTAATACAAGAGAAGCCTTTTTATAATTGACAGCTACTCGATTTGTTTCCATGTTTATCTGTATCCAATATCCATGCTGTTTAAAAGATTGATATAAATTAAAATTAGAAGTCGTCTTCATTTTATTGATATATGCGACGACGAGTGTTAAAATGAAAAATTTAGTTAAAATATAAAAAAATAATGTAAAGTATTAAAAACAATCATCAAGGATAATATTTGTTTGGCGAAAGCTTAATAAAACCTGTTGAAGATGATTTCTCGAAGAGAAAGCTGTAAGAGAAAGTCCAGAGGAAAAGAGAGAAAGAGAGAAAAGAAAGTTGATATCTCAGATTTGAGGCCAACGTTGTGCCGGGAATACTAGCGCTAGCTACCACAGAGAGGGAATATAACAGGAGGGGAATTAGAAATTTATTTATTGAAAAAAAACAAGGGATCATAATGTGTATCTACCATTGTCGTTTTTGTGAACAATCAATCGTCAAAATCGTGAAAAACTATGAAAATATAAATAATTTGCATTGCTTTGATAAGCCCTAATTTTCTCATACGCAACTTTTGTGATAAATTACATATTTCCAGAGACCAGCTGCTTACAATGTTTACATTGGATTTAGCCACTAATAAATATTAATAAAACACAGGTATACATTTTTAAAAAACTTTTTACATATGATTTTAGGAAAAAATAAAAATAGTTTAAAGGGACTGTTAAGCGTAATATCAAGTGACGTTGCATTTAAAAGAAAGGTATCCCCCATTCACAACGGTACCCTTTAAACCTTTGACTGATCAAGGATTCACAATGGTACCCTTTAAACCTTTGATTGATCAAGGATGCACAATGGTACACTTTAAACCTCTGACTGATCAAGGATTCACAATGGTACCCTTTAAACCTTTGACTGATCAATGATGCACAATGGTACCATTTAAACCTTTGACTGATCAAGGATTCACAATGGTACCCTTTGAACTGATCATGAACATATCCTGTTAACATAAGGATATGTCTAATAAGGCCTGATTAGCCATATCCTTGTTAATCTACTGAAACACTTTTAATTGTTAAGTAAAAAATATCAATAGTTACTTTTAAAAAAATGCAGAAAATAATTAAAAAAGTAAAACTTTTTCAGGTTACAATTGTAAACCAGGTATCACCCCCTCTGTGCAAGGAAAGCCATTTGAAATCTAAATAAAAATTATAACAGAACGTTTCTAAAAAAAACATATATTAACAGTGAACCCATCAACAAAGGAAATGAGTTTTTGCCACAAACTCTTACTGTTTCCCTCCTATATCTTTGCAACCCGATGTCGTAGACCTTTGATATTTCAAACCATGAATTCTGTTAGATCAAATTGAAATATCATCGATTTACGCCATCTAGTTGTAAAGATATAGGGATTAAAAAATTTGAGTTTGTGGCAAAAACTTAATTCCTTTAAACGCTCAAAAATGCTACTAGCAAAAATTACATCTTTATATATATATATATATATCTAATAGATATATATAGATATAATAGATTTCAAAAACTTCCGAATTAGGCTTTTGTCGGGGAAACTCTGTTTTATTATTGTAAATCTGAACCCGCTTTAACATTCCTTAGATCCTTGATAGGTATTTTTAATGACCTTTTGGACTTTCTTAGGACCTTACACATTCTTATGGACTTAGACAGGAATTTTCAGATAGCGTAGATAGTAATATTTCATATACTAATATGTATATTTTGTAAAAAAAATCCTCAAAAATTAGCTGAATTTGAAAATATCTTTAGTAAAGCGTCAAGCTAGGGTAATACGTTCAAAATATATATGCCTTGCCTGTGAATATATATATAACAACTTTGTATTATATATACAGAGCTTGGAAACCCAGCTTTGAGTTTGTTGCAAAGACTCTGCAATTCTTTTGTTATAAGTTATGATTGGACATCCAAACAAACAGAGAATACCACTTTAAATTTTAAAAATGTAGAATTTAGATACAGAAAGGGGTTTCTATAATTTGCAGTGTCAAGTCGATTTATTAAAAAATGTGCTAAAACCTTCGAAGAGCCATGGAAAATGTTTAACAGCTGATTTTGGAGTCATCATGGCATATTCTTGATAACGCCCTCTTTTGTCGAAATCTTAAATGTCTCAAATGTACATACTATACATATGTCTGCATTTATTCATTTAAACTTAAAAATGCTATTTCGATCTAGTAAAAATACATAATACATAATCGTTTCTTTTACAACAACTATCGATCGAAATTTGATAATAAACAATGTATTTTAAAAGAAGAAAACTTAAAATCTCTAAATAACCCCTCTCTATGATTTTTCAAAGATAAAATAAACATTATTGTTTGAACCTTAATCTTACGTTTTTTGGACATAACTCAAAAAGTATTGGCCTTAAGTGTAATTTTTAATATTTCGCTGAATTCTTGTTTTCGCCCTATTTTGTTAAATCACTGGATATTGCAACAAAGTTTTAACACACCTTGCACACAAAGTATTCAACAATTAAACACGTTTTTCATAAGAATAAGTCCCACAACATCAGCCACAGGTTTCAAGGGTACTACTGTAAATATTTTTTCATGGAGAGTCACTTGGAAATACGCTTACAGTCCCTTAAGAGATAGGATTAAAAACTTTAGAAACAAAAAAAGGATGCGGTTTTAATGACAATCTGAATGTATTTAGAATTGAAATCGGATTATGACTCCTATACCTTAGTTTTTATAAAGTCTTGTCCTTTCAGGGTTACCCTGCATATGTTAGTCCCTCATAAGAGTTTTCAATATATTTGCTATAAGTCTACGTAAATATTGCTCTGTAGTATCACTCATCGTATAGTGGAGAAACAACATAATATATCACAGTTTTATCAGTTCTCTACTAGTGACAACATCTGTACTATACAGACGATTGGGAGGGAACTCTCGGCTGCCATGAGCCTCCCGTATTTGCTATGCAGCAACGAGCCTCCGCTATGCAGTACAAATTTTACACAAAAACATCAAAAGATTTTAACGCGAAAATGAAGATATTAAAGAACAAATTAAAAAGAGAATTCAATTTGATTTGTTGAAACTAAGATTACTAGCGTTTAAAAGCGATTATTTTATGCCGTTAGCCTATACCTCTTTCATTTTTCGCGAACACTCCTTTAATCAGTACCTTTTTTTATTTTTTTTATTTTTAGTCAAATCTTAAAATGAAAATTATTGCTTCTAAGAATTATCTAAATTTTTAACATGAAACATAACATTTATGAATTTAGTCTATTTTGGAAGATTTTGTATTTCATATTCTAAGGATCCTCAAATATTCCTGAACACAGAGCCCGGAATTTAAAAGAATATCGTTGAACAAAACTCCCGAGTTTCGTTTTTGGGATCTTAACATTTGTGTAGATTTTGATTTAAGAGATTCGTAAAAAAGGAGAATATGAAGAAACCAAATAAAATAATATTTCATAACACAAATATTGATATCCGCAAAACTGCCTAACCCCATTCGTAAAACCCCGGTTCCAAAACTGGTTTTCATAACGATGGCCTGTTTTAAGTTTTGGGCTCTGATGTCTGCTGATTGGTCGTGTACGGTACAATTGTACACAAAAGAACCTGCTGTGAAAAATATCGCATATCATAGGTTTCAATTGATCTCTGTTACTCTTTTATGAGCATTGCGAAGGCTCGTTGCTGTATAGTAAATCTGGGAGGAATATTGCGGCCTGGAGTTTCCTTCTCTAGCAGACACCCTGTTAACACTCTCAAACTATTCAGCTGAATGAAAAAAAAACAAGTAAATCAATCCTCTTCATCTTTTAAAACAGTATCGAGGTTATTAAAAAATCTGATCTATATGATAAAACAAGATATTCGTATATATATATATATGTTGCCTATAGCCGGCCAAACGGCTGGATCCGATTGGGCTGAGTTTTTTCTGTAGACACATATGGGCGGTTTGGGGGTGTAAAAGGCCAAAAAAAAGTCAAATTTTTTTTTCTAATTTTTGTCTTCCACGGGCAACACCGGGCCCTTCAGCAAGTAGTTCTTAAATTTGTTAAGAGAAAAAACGACATAAATTTCATTTACTGGAAAGGAAAACATTTGTTTACTGCTGATTTGACAATAAATCATTATTTACTTAAATTTAATCTAAAAGTGAAAATAGAAAATCAGAATTAGCAAGAATGCAAATTTATTCATTGCTTTAAAACTCCCACATGCAGAGTTTAAAGTACAAAAGAGTGTTTTCTAAGAAAAGTTAGCTTTAAAATATAAATTTTGACATTCTCCAATTTAAAATATATTTGGACTCAATGCCACAGACCATTGATATTTCAGACTATAAATGCTGTTTAATCAAATAGTTTAAAACATTAAAGGTTTACACCAACAGATTGCCAAGATATGTGGATAAGAAAACTTGAGTTTTTAGCAAACATTTTAAATGACATTCTATACCAGTTTTAGAAATGTTTACGCAAGAGACATTTGTGCTGTAACTTGTAAAGCTAAATAATAAAAAATCTGGATATCCACAATATGGGTACTTTAAATTTAAAGATCAATGCTTGATCCCTCACTTGAAGATCTTTGTGAGAAATTAAAATAAATCCGTAGATCTGCATAAGATTGAGATCAATGTTTGATCCGGATATTTACAACATAAAAGTTCTGATTTATCAGCGTGTTTATAGTCATTTTCGATAAATCTAGGTTAAGTAGGTAATTCTAGCAACGTACGAGGAAATTAAAAGTTGAAAATATTGATCGGTTATCGTTAAAAAATCAATATTTCTAGATCGTCCTAAAATATTATAACTGCATTGCTAGATATTTGATATTTTGCTACAAATGCGGGATATAATTGACTTATTTCTGGATAGTTGAACTACAGAGGTAGTTAAACTATCTCTATACTACTTTAACCACTTTTTATTGCATTATGCAATAAAATTTTAAAAATTTAGAACCATATCCTTGATATATTTTGACATTCGTAATAATATTTGGTTTATAAAGTTAAACAAAGTTTTACTTTTAATAGTTTGCCGACCATATCTTCCTTATCACATAATTATTGAAAACATGCATAAAGAAATTGAGTTTTTGGCACAAACTCAACTTTTCTAAATTCTACATCTGTGTAACCTACTGATGGTGTACATCCTTGATATTTCAAACTTAGATTGTTTATCTAACCACATTTATGGTTTGCTATTTCTATAGGCGATGATATTGGGTTGCAAAGATATAGAGATTAGAAAATCAGAGTTTTTGACAAAAATTCCCCTAAACTGATTATTTTCTTTATTATTGAAAAATCTAAAACTTTTTTATTTAGCATGGCTCACTACACACGACAGAAAGATACGGAGTTTGCCGACAATATCTTCCTTATCACATAATTATTGAAAACATGCATAAAGAAATTGAGTTTTTGGCACAAACTCAACTTTTCTAAATTCAACATCTGTGTAACCTACTGATGGTGTACATCTTTGATATTTCAAACTTAGATTTTTTTTATCTAACCGCATTTATAGTTTGCTATTTCTATAGTCGATGATTTTGGGTTGCAAAGATATAGATAATTGACAAAGACTCAATTCCCCTAGACAGATTTTTTTCTTTATTGTTGAAAAATCTAAAATTGCTTTATTTAGAATGGCTCACTACACACGACAGAAAGATACGGAGCCGGATTTAGAGGACAGGCCTCTAACCCCAACCTCAGAAATACTCAGGAACAAATAAATCAAAGTTTTTAAAACCTGATCGTTTACCTCAAACTCTAACATTTCAGTGCTTTTATCAGAGAAACTTACATAGATCGAGACTGCTATGAAAAGTTGCATCATTTTTTAACACTTTGAAGTATCTTAACGCCTTGGCTTTAGATTTTACCTTCAAAGCATGTTTATTATGAAATTTTAATCACTTGCTTTTAGCTTTAGTTTTTAACAAGATATTGGGAAAATTTTTATCGATTATTGCAACCTTTGAATAAATGTAAAATCAAATATGTTTACATTAACAACAAAAAAATTTGATCCTTTGCCTTAAACTCTAACATTTTAGTCCTTTTATCAACTTTTAATATTTATATTACGACCTGAGAGTTCCAGTATATTTTAGAAAGCCAAAGGTTTAATAATTTAACGTTTACACCATGAGGTTGTAGTTGTTTGGAAAAATGTCAGTTTCTGAAAATTTTTAAAATTTTTTTTATCAAAATCTATTAATGCGGAATTTTGTTTAGCCTAAAGGATGCACGGTATATTTGTAATTGATATGTTGATAAGAAATAAATTGATTGTTCCCTAATCAGAATTTGAAGCCACTTTTTCAAATTTCCCGACGTACAATAAAGTTCAAAATTTGTTGCAAGGCAATGTAATAATTAAAAAAATACATCAAATATTTTAACTTTTAAATTTTTTAATGCTAATATTTCGAATTGGCAAAATTGAATTTTTATAGATATTAAATCCCGAATACTAAACACATCCTGCTAAAGTTAACCCNAATTATATATTTTCAAATTGTTATGAAAAATACCAAAAATATTCAGTTTATTACAAACTTTGTAAAATACAACAGATTCAATATCTTAGACACATTGATAAAAAATAAAAAGATGATTAAAAACTTTTCAATATAAGTTGTCTTGATTCTTTTTTGTGTTATTTGTAACGATCCGCTGTTTTCTCGTGACCACTGCACTCTTTACAAAATTTAATGGTTTATTTGCCCAGTGATGGAGGAGGAGCAGTCAGCTTTATATCCCCTAGCTTTAGGTTAGAGAAAAATAGTGAACTTTCTTTAGAGAGCATAATGGCTTTTTCTTCTTGTAAGCTTTTAAAATCTCATCTCAGAGATGAGATTTTAAAAGCTTACACCCGAGTAAAACCCGGTCTTTTCGTCTACATAGACCCAAGTAAAGCTAAGGTCAAGACCCTGGTTTTGGATGGCCTTGAGTTTAGTAAGAACCAACCCTCTTGGGTTTTACTCTTTTTAAGGCTCGAGTCTTCAGCAGCTGATGATTGTAAATTTTGTAAAATCTTTCATATTTGTACATTTAAAATCTCGGGAATTTTTTGTGGTGTCAATTTTTATTAATTATGTAAAATAAACATACTATGAAAATAATGTATCTACATAAAGTTTGAACTTTCGAAATTTACATCTCCTTGTCACAGCTAATCTGACGGCATTCTCTCATTGGTCTCATTAGAACTAATCCTGACTTGGGTTCTATCTAAGCTCGAGTTTGGATTTTAGTTGGGTTTAAGCTTTTAAAATCTCATCTCCGGTGGTATGGCTGGTCAACTAGTTATATCTAGATATGTCTGACTCAGGAGTCAGGATTGTGTATCAGCATAAACCATGGTTGTTTCGAAAGGTTCTTTACTATGGATGCGTACAGTAAATGGCGTCTCTAAAGCAATGGACAATTAAAATACAAAAAATGACGTCATAATTTATAAAGACGGTTTGATAGAAAATAAACCCGGCCCGAGCACAGCACACTGCCATATAAACGGTGACATCATTTCTGGATTTTTAATGTTCATTGTTTGGAGACGCCATTAAGGATCATCAGAACTCATCCTTAATTTACAACCTTGGCATAAACTCAAAGCGTTACGAATTTAAAAATCAGCAATTAAAAATAAAAAAATCTTAATTAAATATGTGAACATGGGTCCAAGAGAGAAGGCTCACTGACATTTTCCCCCCCCCCCCCCTACCGCAGTAAAAGTAAATTGTTTTGGTGGATATGTATTCCTTACTATAATGGTATAATTCAGCAAAATTATGAATATTAATTTTCTAATTAACGGGATTTTATTTTGTCCAAGTTTCCCGGGTCATTTAAAAAAAGGCTTTAATAAAGAACATTAAATAAGAGAAATTATAACTATTTATAACCCTACTGGTTGAAGGGAGGTGAGGTTTAAAGTATTTGAGCAAAAAAACTTTCCTTTTTTCGAGAGGGTTCGAGAACCCTCGAGAAAAAGAAATGTTTTTGGCGAAAATACGAGCCCCCTCCAACCAGTAGGGTTTTAAATAATTTTATGCCCTGGAAAAAATTAAAATATATAAAGAAATATGAATTTAAATGTTAACACCATCAAAATAAATAAATACACAGAAATGGTGCACGCCAATTATATAACATGTAATATAAAGTGTAAACTCTTAAGAAGTACATATTAAAGAAAATCCCAAATATTAATGCTGGAAGATGATCATTCAAAAGATGTGGGAACTTCATAGCAAAAAAATGCTCGAATATTGAAAGGTGCACTCAGCTGGGGTGATATTTTATTTTTAAACCCATAAAAAAATAGTGAAAATTTTACCCCTGCAGCCCAGCTGAGCTGGGAATATATGGGTTTGAGGATATGTTAAAAAGAGGCCACCCAGGGCATAACAAATATTATTGGTTAAAAACTAATTCCTCAATAAGTATTTAAGTTTGTCAACCATTAACATTAAGACCCCCCCCCTTCTATGTAATGTCGTCTTCAACTTAAAAGCTCCTCTCGGAGACAAGAAACCAAACCAAACAATTTCAGCCCGCTTTTCTTCTTTGTTCTCCGACAACGGAGTATAAACGTTTATTAATTGTGAACCATTTCAAAGTTAAACAAGAATATTATCCCTTCATTTGTTAGAGCATTGATTAAATGCTAATATAAAGCTTTAATAAAAGGTTCCAGTAAAAAGTTTTAATACTTTGTTTCAATAAAAGGTTTAAAAAAAAAGTTTCAATGAAAAGTTTCTTGTTTCTTAAGTAAAGTAATTTAAGATATTTTGTAGGACAAACTTTTGAGAAAGGGGCCTTTTAAAACCAATTGCAATGCAAAACCAAAAAGGTTTTAACCCAAAGTCCAGTTATGTTGCAACAAATGTTGTCAAATAGAGTTGAGCAAAACATGATAACTAATACAATTTTAAAGAGGCCATTTTGTTCCAAAAATTTGCAAAACTCCTATTTTCTACAGTCGACAGTCTTTAAATCAATACAATGAAGACGACTTTCTATTTTAATTTTTATTTCTAACAAGGTTTTTTAAAATTACAAGTTTACAAGCGATAATTGACAGCTTCTCTTTTTCTCGATGTTTATGTATATGCTGTTTGAAAGCTTGTAAGAAAACAAAATTTGAAATGAAAAGTCGTCTTCACTGTATACAACGACGACTGTATATATATGTGCAGGTATCGGGTAAAATCTACCAACATTGTATCTGGAAGAACCTGTTTAGAGAAGGTACTTGCTTCCATCATTATCATCATCACCCTTCTCAGTATTCTCCTCATCTCTATTTCAATCAATATGAAAGGGTAAGCTAACATTATAATGAATCACTGTTAGCGTAGCTTTAAGTGGCCTTCCAAGTAAAGATGACATGGCATTAGGGGGGGGGGGGATCACGGTGACCCACTAGCATCTCTAACTTCTTCTTGTAATAAAAATCTTTAACATTTGATACTTCAATAATCTTATAAAAAGATGCAAATTTGCAAAATCCAACTACTTATTGCGACATCTACAAGTGTGCAAAAAAAAAAAAAAATTTTGCGAAACATGACACATTATACACTTTGGTTTCTCCAGAAAGTGAATTGTACATTTTTTCTGCAGGAAAATAAATGGGAATTATTATAATTAAACACTTGTATAGAAAACGAAAATATCTTCCAGTTAATTAATCAGATAAAAAAATACGAAATTATAATAATATCTATCTAGTCATACTTGATACAACAAAGTTTAAAGGGTTGACGTTGATGGCCACTTGAAATTACGCTTTTAATCCCCTTGACTGTGCAGTGTCCGAGTTATACAATATGTGATGTGGTATTTGAATCAAAGGTCAAACAGATCATATAAGGCAAAGAAACTGAGTCTTTGCAACAAACAACTCTGATTATATAACCCCTCTATCTTTGTAAATCAATATCGTAGACCTGAGATATTTCAAACTGTGAATTCTGTTCGAACAAATAATCTGAGTTTGAAATACCAAAAGTTTAAACCATCCGATTGAAAGGATAGGGATTAGAAATTTTGAATATGTTGCAAAGAATCAATTCCTTGGGAACAAATCTAAAAATTATGATAACCTAGAGGTGTGTCTAGAAATTTTAGATACTCTCTTGTTAAAATTGAAATAAAATTCTTATTGATTTTTAATAATTATAACTGATTTCAACCATATAATGTCTGTATCATGTTACCAGAATTTTCCCCAATGACAGTGCAATATCTGGTCATGTAACTCCGATTGAATCACGTGACCAAAACTTCCACCAATGGCTGTGCAGTATCTGGTCATGTAACTCCGTTTGTATCATGTGACCAAAATTTGCACTAATGGCCGTGCAATATCTGGTCCTGTAACTCCGTTTGTATCACGTGACCAAAATTTCCACCAATGACCGTGCAGTATCTGGTCACGTTGGTCCATTGACCATAAGACGTATATGAGTTTTTGTATAATATTGAGACAGTTTTATCAATTTCTTGATACAAGGACAAAAAGATATAACTAATATTGGTCGCACTCTAGGCCTAAAGTTTCTAAGCTTTAGCCTATACGCTCTATCATTTTACCTTAACAGCCCCTTTAAGAGGTGAAAATAAGTTGAACATTTTGTGCAAATCTGGAAATGCCCATCATACAAAATGTTAAAGATGAGATGGGCAATATTTTTAATATTGAGTTTTTTCTATTTCAGTGAACCTAAAATCAACATGTACCTTTCTCATCTCAACACATCTAATCAAGGAATTTAAATATAAAACATTTTTGTTTGGTAAAATGTGTTTTTTCCGCATTTTGAAATTTTATACTTTATCAAAACATTTGGTCACCCAGTAATTTTTCTGTTAAACGCTAAAATCTATTAACTTTTTCGTTATATCCAATAATTGTCATCAGAACAGCTTTACCGAAATGGACTAACTGTTTTGTTGCAACTTACATGACCTCAGGGAAGGATCATATTTTGTTGAAGAAAAATTTTTGTCCGGAATGAAATATTTTCAGTATTTGTTTTTGTAAAAATGGGCTAATTTTAACAGAAAAGTTCGTTAAATAAAATTTAAAAAAAAGAAAAATAGAACTAAAATTATTTCTAGAAAAGAGAAACGAATCGCCCTGGAAGCCTTTAGCATAATAAGTAGATTAAATAATATTTGGTTTGGTGCTCAGAAGTGTACTGTCTGTCAGCTGAATGCGTAAAAACAGCTGCTTCCGTAATTCGATCAGCTGATTTCACAGTTGATCCGTGCCAAGACTTTTATCAGGTAACTTGGACAATTTTTAAATGCTGTGATTATGATTGGTATTCTTTGTTTCAGCTTTCAATAATCCTAATTATAGTTGGGACACATATTGCTTATTCTTACTGATACAGATAAAAATTCTATAAATCATTAAAAATCAACAAAACTGTGTTCCAATGTTTAATATCTCCGTCAATTCTAAAGATACAAAAAAGGTTAGACCACATTTTGAGCTAAAATTTTTTTTGGTGCACTTAATGTCATTTATCAATTATCGGAAATCAAATTCAAGTCGTCTCTAAACATCCGTGTTTATTGGGACATCCTGTATATAAAAGAAAGCTCCTCGCTAATATCTTAAAAATAAAGCCAAACAACTGAACCACATTGGTTGCATTTTTTTGAGTGAACGCGTGGAAATTAGAGGTACCACGGGTTGCCGAACCAATTCAAATTTTTAAAAAATATTTTTTTTTCAGAGTGTTTTAAAAACTTAAACAAATAAGCTCTTTCATATATCTAGTATGCTTGTGGAGGGTGGGAGAGAGAGAATCCTATACCTGATGGAAAACCATCCTGGAGTACTTTTGGTAAACTTTGGCAGGTACATCTACCCTTCTTGTTTAATGGACAAATAGAACTCCACTCTAAAAGTTGCATAATCCATGCCGTTTTAACAAATACTATATAAATATATGCATTAAGTCGTACTAAACTGTCCAGTCTAGACTACCCAGTGTAAAGTCGACACAGCACATTTTTCTTACTAAATAAATAGCAACGTCAAACACAGTGGTAATCAGAAAACTGTGGAATAGTTTACAAAGAAAGAACCAAAGAACGTTTTCGGTTTTTCCTTAGTGATACATGCAAATGATCATTTTTAAATCTATCTACATTTTTTAAATAACAAAAACAAAAATATTCAATTTGCACTTTTGACGTGGCCTTATGGCTGTAGGAAATGCCCACCTCCTAACAGTTTCCAGGCACTCAGATTATTTTGACTATCACTGATGTCAACACACGGCAACAATCCCAAAACTATTAATACCAAATCAAATGGGAACGATCCTCAACATCAAAACAGTAAACAACAAGGCTATAATCCTGCCGAGTATCAACGCCACTCGTTATCTCGTTAGCTATCGATATCAGTTGAAAGCTTGTAACTATCAATGCCAAATCAAAGGGGACAATCCTCAACCTGTTTATCAAAACAGGGAACCACACAGATTAAATCTCGTGATTTATCAATGCCACTACCATTGGGCGCAATCTTATTAGCTATCAATATCAATCGGAAGCTTGCAACTATCAATGCCAAATCAAAGGGCACAATAATCAATCTGTTTACCAAAACAAGGAAAGATTAATCTCCCGCAGTAAACAGTACGGAGTTACTATATCAACTGAGGTATATCAGTTTAGATTAGAATTGGGTCTTTAACACCGTAATTACAAGTTATGGGCTGTTACATATAATGTAAATAAGTAATCACAATATGGGCATGATGAAGTTATATACATCTAGGTACATTGAATGGGTTTAGTGTACATATTTATAAGATTAGTGAGGTTAGACATAACGTAGTTAAGCTATCTCCACACATGTTTACAGCGTAATTTAGGTTGAATGTACACATTTAGAAGAATAACATGGATAGTAGTTAATCTAATCACAATTAATGTTTTCATCATGATTTAATCAATTTTGGGGATTGCTACGATATTCGCTACATGGCAACGTAGAGCGTGCATTTAACATAAAGTATTTACATAAACTTTAAAAATGTTTACCAACATCATCAAGTTTGAACTTGATTTTGTTTCATTGTTTGAATGTCAACTTTTTAATACCAGTTTTGAAGAAGTCAAAAACTTAAAATAAAAAGTTGTAAAAAAAGTCTTTTTAATACCAGTTTTGAACAGTCACAAACCTTGAACAAAAAGTTGTGAACTTTTTCAACCCAGTTTTGAACTAGCCACAAACTTTAGTTCCATTTGTTATGACCAGATCAGAACTGACATTCAAAAGTTTATTTTTTACAAGTTTTATTGCCAAAATTTACTTTAAAAAGTCGACTTTAATCGACTTTAAAAGTCAACTTTAATCGACTTTAAAAGTCGACTCTAATAGACTTTAAAAGTTGACTTTAATCGACTTTAAAAGTCGATCTTTACTCGACTTTAAAAGTCAAATTTTTGCCAAGTTTATTGAAACACCTTGTCCGTAAGTGGTATAAAAACTTGTCCAAAAGTGTTAAAAAATCTGAGCATAAAGCTGAGTTCCGGTACAACTATTTAGGAATCAAAGTCGATTTAAAAGTCGAGTCAAAGTGTTTTATATACTTTAATTTTTCCGTTGAAAACTACAAAAACAATAATTTCTTGGTTTAAATTGACTTATAATTTAAATTTTATTACAGGAAAATCAGCAGGTTATGAAAATAATTCTAGAAGATACTGATTCAAAATTCAAGGTAAAATCTAAACCATGTTAAAACTTACAATCAATTTGTAACCCATTTAATGTAGATTTTTGTATTGGCAAATGTTTTTATACTAATTTGTATGGATACTACGATGGATACTTTCAAAATTTTTGACGGACTTTGATTAGAGATCTACAAGTGGGATGGACTGGATTAGAGATAGTCCCCTTTATTTCATTCTTGTGATACAATCTGAACATTTAATACACTTTTTGGAAACCCAATTGGGCTCTACTTCAATAATCTGAAGGAAAAAATGCAAATTTGCCAAAATTTGACCAACTACACATTTTTGAAAAGCCCTTTATTCCGCAAATTCAAATCTGCGAAATCGTTGCGAAAATCTTTGCAAAATTTCTTTGCAGCAATTGTGCAATCTGCAGCTTTCTTTTTTATAGGCTTTCCAAAGAGCTATAAAATGTTGAAATTCAAAGACTGGATGTAGGTCTAAATATAGATTTAGTCTGGTATAGGTAAAATAAGGCATTCAGTCATTATGCCTGAGGACTCATGGGAAGTGGGTATAAAAGCCCGGCTTTTAGCCTAAAGTGAGGTTCGCATGTATAATCAGTTACAATTATACATTTTTTTTCTAAGTTTGGGACGATGTTTGAAAGCCAAGACTGGAAGTCTCATAGTGGTTCATAAAACATGTTTAGGATTATCAATCGTATCCAATGGCAATTTGATAAACTTAAACACTAAGATTTTTCAACTATTTAACAAAAACACATGAGATAATTTTTTTCAGTTGATTTAATTTTAGAACTGCTCCTCTTGTCGTAAAGCTCAGGACTATTATCAATCTTGTATAGACAAAAATGGAACTTTGGGTAAGCAAAAAAACTATTTCATTTTTATTTTATTTTCTCTTTCAAGATTAAACCTAAATTATCTAAAAAAATGTCCCGTAATCGAAAAATCTAAAACATTGAAATGATAATTAAATTAAGATTTTTTCTTCGGAAAATTGTTATTTCAGGAAAGGTTTCAATAACACAGAATGAATTGTGTTCAAACCTTTTTTGTATTCCAAATTAAGTATCTATAATAATCCTTATCTTTTGTTGAGTCGAAAACTTTAAAATTGTGGATATCGAGATCAATGTTTGATCTCCTCTTTTTATCATTCTCAAAATTAATTTAATCTTTAGTTTGTATCCTGGAAAGTATTTAAAATTCAACCAATCAGATTTTCGCTTGGAAAATCCTAACAGCCAATCAGATTGCCGAGAATTTTTAAAGTTTAGCGCGTGCAATCGATGAGAGATTTTTCATTGGTCGTAATCCAGCAGAGGTATCCAATAGGGAGGATTAACAATATGATTAGATGTTTCCTTGGAGATTTAGGTTTAGCAATAGGGTTCAGAGCTGAAAACTTTAGAATGGGATATCCTTATAATTCCGATTTGTTAATTAATCTGGAGATTATATTCAGGGGAGAGCAGGCAATATTTAATCTGGAGATTAAGAAAAAGAGTGGATCAAGCATTAATCCCGATATCCACCATTCTAAAGTTCCCAGCTCAGGGTATCCAATTCTAATGTTTTTTAGCTCTGAAGACTTGAACTAAGTTCGCTTTCATATCCTGTTGGAAGAAACTAAACAGTGAATTCTCACCACAAACTCTAATTTTATAATCCCTTTATCTTTTTAACATGATGATGGATGGCATAATCCAAATCCAAAAATTTGGCTAAACTTGATCTTAACAAAATTTATAGTTTAAAATATCAAAGATTTACAACATTAGTATGCAAAGATATAGACAATAGAAAATTACAATTTTAAGCGAGAGTTCAGTTATTTCAAACGTTTCCTCAGTGGATATCGAGATCAAACGTTGTGGTTTTTCTCAAAAAAGTTTTGATCTATTTAGATTAAATATTATTTAGAAAAGCTGGGCGGTCAACCTTTGCTTGAGATTTTGAATAAGTTCTACTGGAATATAACAGATTTCGATGGGTCAGGCCAGCTGGAAGATTTCAGTATACAAACTGTACTGCAACAGGTACAAATGCTGATACAGCTGTGCTGATCAGAAAACTTTGGGGAAAATTTCCTCTGCGTTTGGAAATATCGCGTCCTTTATCTTTTATTTGGAATTATTGCAATTTAGGAATGATAATATCTATCTATCTATCTATCTATCTATTTTATATCTATCTATCCATCTAACTATCTTTCAATATAACCATCTATCTATCTATTTGTAAGGTTCAACATGGGTACAACGTTGGTGGGTTCTTTGTTTGGAATGTGGGAGAAGACGACAAGGTATATTTTATAAAAAATTAGAAATTTTTCAAATATTTTTGACAAAATGTAATTAAATTATTTTTCTATAATTAATTTCAATGGGTTTGATTATTGATGTCATATATGATCAAGAAAATAGAAAGATTTGTTAATAAAGTTCTTGTTTTTTGTATTATCTCTCATTATTATTCTTCTCTTTTGATTATTATTAATATTTTTATAAATGCAATTTTCAGAGCTTAACATTTTTGAAAATCGGAAAAAGTTAAATTCATTCTGTTCTCGCGGAAAGTTTAACAGGTCGCTCACTGATGGTCAAAGCTTTAAATCTGAACTGTGATTTGCATAGTGAATAAATTGACTGAATCAGTTTATTTAAAAGTTACGATCTTTTGATTTAGAACTCCAGTGTACACATCCTACAGATAGATCAGGGAGGTTTAACACTGGGAAACAGGGATATGCAGCAACAAGCAAAATATCATAAAAAATGTTATTGCTAAAGTATTTTTATTTTATTTTGCAAGAAATAGTCGCAGACTTGCAAATTTATGATTTGATTTAGAATGACTCAACACAAATGTTCTTCATGTCAATCTAGATTTTCTGATTAAAGTATAATAAAGACTGCTGATCATAGGTTAAAAACAACATAGATACAACACTATATGTCGTCTTTAGATATTAAGGGGTTTTTTGTTCACAATAACCCTGAGCCAGAAGCCCAAAGGAATTACAAGACAGGGAGAAAGCCTGTTCGAATTCCTTTCGGCTTCTGCCTTGTGAACGAAAAACCCCTAAATCTTGAAAAGACGACATCTAGTGGTCTAGTGTTCTATCTGTATCGTTATTAATCTATGCTGCTGATATTTTTAAAGAAAATCAAATCGAGTTTTTACAAAGTATTTTTTCCGTAAGGAATTAAGTCTTTGCTATAAACTCTAATTTTATAATTCATGTATCTTCGCGACTTGATGGCGTACACTTTTGATAAGTCAAACCTACGTTATTTGATCGAATTGGATTCATAGTTTGATATATCTAAGGTGGAAGGCATTGGGTAGCAAAGGTAAATAGATTATAAAATCAGAGTTTGTGTCAAAGACTCATTTCTTTAAAGGGACTGTAAAGGAAAAATGAAAGGGGGTATAGGCTGCAGAAACCTTTTGGTTTAATTTTGACACAGTTTTATATCAATTTCTTGAGAAAGGAACATCATATAAAACTCATTTAGGTCTCAATCAACTCCCGAGATTCTCACGATTCATCCTATACCCCCTTTAATTTTCCTTTACAGTCCCTTTAATACCAAAAATGTTCTTCCTAGTAACCATGCGGAATAGTAAGGTGACGACATTTTAAATAGTATAATAAACATGGAACAATGTGCAGTGTACACAGACTCATTTCTCTTGAGAAGTTGATCTGGTAATTTAAACTATTTTCCAGATAACAGCATCAAATAAACTTAACCGTAATTCTATTGATGATGTCTCCTTTAACAGAAATAATGGAGGGAGGAGATAGTTAAGACAAGGCATTCAGCCAGTATGCATTTAGCCATGTCCAAACAACGTCCCTGTTTTCCTCCCCCCCCCCCTTATTAGGAATAGGGTTAAGTATTCTAACGTCGTCATCTTATTCCAGAGTTTTATATGATTTAATTCAATTAGCAATTATTCTTTTAATGATAATGGAAAGGAATGAAAATATTTTAATGATAAAATTTTGATTTTGAAAGATGTAATGATAAAGACGGTTAGTTTACTCTACAGGGATAAGAAGAATATTTCTTCAATAAATGAGATTGTTCAGGTGAAAATATTAAATTAAGGTATTGTTCAGGTATAAATATTAATTAAAGGGATTTTTCTGCTGAAAATATTAAATTAAGGTATTGAACAGGTAGAAATATCATGGATTGTTCAGTTAAATATATTAATTAAAGGGATTGGTTCAGGTAAAAATATAAATTAAATGGGATTGTTCAGGTAAAAATATTAATTAAAGGGATTTTTCGAGTAAAAATATTAATTAAATGGGATTGTTCAGGTAAAAATATTAATTAAAGGGATTGTTCAGGTAAAAATGTTAATTAAAGGGATTGTTCAGGTAAAAATATTAATAAAATTGGATTGTTCAGTTAAATATATTAATTAAAGGGATTGTTCAGGTAAAAATATAAATAATGAAAGGGATTGTTCAGGTAAAAATATTAATTAAAGGGATTGTTCAGGTGAAAATATAAATAATGAAAGGGATTGTTCAGGTAAAAATATAAATTAAAGGCAATGTTTAGGTAAAAATATAATTACTTTATAGTATTGTTGAAATAAAGTTTAAATTAATTAAAAATGGATTATTGAAGCAAATTCAAATGAGTCTCCATTTAGAAGAATATTCACCGATACCCTTTGACTTTTTAATGGAAAATTTTTTATTTTTCATATTCCTTAGTCCACAGACCATAACCAATGACAAACTGAAATTATGTGTCAACATTTTTATTCAAATTACTCATATATATCTGTAATACTGTATAGTTACTTTGTTCGAAATATATCATATTATTCTTAATATTATTAACAATGTACTGAGCAAAACTAATGCAGATATTTGAAATTTGATCATTTTCATGCTTACAAAACTGAACAAGAAAATTGACAGAATTTAATAAATTTCATATTTTTTCAAAAAAAACCACGATATCGTCCTCATTGATGCTCAAATAAAAGTGTAAATTTTTCGATATGTGTGAAATGACAAATTAAGAAGTTGAGATAGAAGTTCCACACTCCATCAGTCAATTGGCAAAATTTTACAACATACAAAAATAATAAGCACAAATGATGAAGAAAAGGACATTTTGAAATTTTTGAAACTTCCCAAAGGAATAATTGAATAATTGTTTTTAGACTGATATCCAGAGGCAGATGGAAGATATTATTCAGTTTGAGAAAAAGATCGCTGAAATAACAGCCCCTGCATCAGAACAGAGGTAGGTTGCTAGATGAATAAAGTGTGATCAGTAAAATTTTTCTGATTCTATCAAAACCTGTAATTTTCTTCACCTCTTCACATTAATCTCAGAAGAAAAGGATGAGTCATCTAGTACTAGTACTACACTATAGTGTTCTGTCGTTTTTACCGTTTATTAAATACTGTGCAACATGCTTGTGAAGGGCGGTTTCAGGATTTAAGGTGGGGGGAGGGGGGTAAAGAAATGTAAAAAAGTTAACCCCCTCCCACTATTAATTTTCCACCCCTGTAATCTTCTTAAACGAAATTCACCCCCCACCCCCACCCCTCTATTGCAAAAAAAGTTCTATTTACCGCCCTAACCCTACAAAAATTACAGTTTTTTTAGTATAGGGTAGTCAAATGTCTTAATAATCCATTTTTTATCTGAAAACGATATTAAAAAAATATTATTGATTGAATTTTACACATTAACATTATACATAAGATATCATATTATTCTAATGAAGGGAGAATAGCTGCTATATTTCTTGCTAATTGTCTTGCAGGAGACAGCATGTAGTTTCCAAGTTTACTTTTAGAGTTAAAAATAACCAAAAGAAGGCTGAAAGTAAATTAAGAATTTTTCATTCAAAATTTAAAAAAGAAAATTAAAATATGCTTCTTTTTTCCACTCTACAATAATTTAGTTTCCTCGGGCCTTTTGAAATAAAGGCATTTAAAACACTGATGTCCGAAATTGAGGCAAGCCTCGCGTGCCATTCTTTCTAGGTTGACCAACCTGTCGGTGGTAATAGAAATAGATGACTTGTTCAATGAGAGCATTGAGCCATATTTACATCACAAAGTTTCAGTTTGTACCATTAGTAGAGTTAATGCAACGGAAATGGGTTTTTGTCACAAACAATAATTTTAAAACATATATTTCTTTGCAATCCGATGTCATGGCAAAAAAGAAGTTTCTTTTATATATGTTTTTTTATTAAATCTATATGTCAATTTGTTTTTATGTTTTTAGAGACGAAGAAAGAAGATATCATTCATTAACAGTTGCAGAGCTTCAAAACATCTCAGGTGCACATTTTCTACAGCCAATCTCACATATAAGAATACATAGGAAGAGTGCATGAAAAGTCGTCTTGAACTATATTTAAAAATGTATGACAGCATGTTATGCTTCATCATTGGTCTGCACAAAAAGAAAGCTGCTGAGATATTCGCAGCTTCAAGGGGTTAAATATATATCCAAATATCATTGAGAGTCATAAAATGTTTTGATAATTTTTAAGAAACTTTTTTTTATTTTTAATTCAAGGTAAATTAATAGCCCAGAAATATGCAGGACAGCAATTAATATATTAAATCGTTTTCTCGCGGCATTCTATCTTAACTATGTTAAGAATACGACATTATATAAAACTCTTGCTATGTATTTATACATCTAGGAAACTGTATCACACTGATAAAGGATCTGTTGACGTAAATTTCAGTAACTTTGCATTTTATAGAGTTGCATGAACAATTCACCAGCGTACCCTTAAAACCATTAGATGATAAATAATGTGGAAGATATGTTCGTTTTTCTTCGCTGACACGTGTTTAATTATGTTAATTCATCCAATGATTTCAGAACCAAATCTCTTTTGTAGGAAAAAAATCTCGTATGAAAATAAGTGGTTTTTAAAACCATAAAGTTTATTTCTTATTATGCTTTCTTCCAAAAAGTTTGAAGGTTTTTTTAATAGTGCGTGATAGAAACGTTTTTATATATTTTTTCTTCTATAAGCATCTTGCCAACCCAAATTTTTCTTTAACTTGGATTTTTGCTTCATAATATAATTTTTAAATACCCTATCTCTGTCAAAATTAAAATTGTATATGCACCATCACGCCCATTTAGTTTTATTATAATATAATAATTTCAGACTTTTTCCACTGGGAGGAGTTTTTCCAGGATGCTCTCTCTATTGTTGATTTAAAAATAAACTCTACTCAGCAAATTATAGGTGATTTCCTCAACTTAGAGCATTTATATATTTTTTAGGTTTTCCTTCTTTTGCTAACATATTTGAACCATATATAGAAATGACGGGCAAATTTGAACTTTAAATAATTTAGGCTAGATTTAAAAAAAAATTAATTTTGACCAAACTCTTGATTTTTGACTATAACATAAAAAAAAAACATAAGTCAGCCGACTACATATACTATTCAGTATACTCTCCTGAGTACATAAGTCAGCTGAGTACATATACTATTTAGTATACTTTCCTGAGTACATGAGTCAGCTAAGTACATATACTATTTAGTATACTCTCCTGAGTACTTGAACCAGCTAAGTACATCTACTATTTAGTGTACTCTCCTGAGTATATGAGTCAGCTGAGTACATATATAATTTAGAATACTCTCCCGAGTACATGAGTCAGCTAAGTACATATACTATTTAGTATACTCTCCTGAGTACTTGAACCAGCTAAGTACATCTACTATTTAGTGTACTCTCCTGAGTACTTGAACCAGCTGAGCACCCTCCTAAAGAATGAAAGTGAAAGTATGGACGGAAAGAACACTCTGAACAACTATCTGATGTGGCAACTGATCAGGTGAAGAGATTGCAAATTAATTACAACAAGACAGTTTTAGTTCATTTGAAAATATTTTAAAAATTGATTTTGTTTTTTTATTAAAACAGTTTATCAAAGCTTAGTTTTAGGTTAATAATTTTTAATAATTACTTTAAACTTCACTATGATTACTTTTAATATCCAGGAACTATAATTACTTCTAATATCCAGGAACTAAAATTGCTTCTAATAATATCCAGGAACTATAATTACTTCTAATATCCAGGAACTATAATTAATTCTAATATCCAGGAACTATAATTAATTCTAATATCCAGGAACTATAATTAATTCTAATATCCAGGAACTATAATTAATTCTAATATCCAGGAACTATAATTAATTCTAATATCCAGGAACTATAATTAATTCTAATATCCAGGAACTATAATTACTTCTAATATCCAGGAACTATAATTACTTCTAGCATCCAGAAACTAAAATTACTTCCAATATCCAGGAATTATAATTGCTTCCAATATCCAGGAATTATAATTACTTCTAATATCCAGGAAATTATTTCAAATATCCAGAAACCATAATTACTTCTAATATCCGGGAACTATAATTACTTCTAATATCCGGGAACTAAAATTACTTCTAATATCATGGAACTATAATTACTTATAATATCCAGGAACTATAATTACTTATAATATCCAGGAAGTAATTACTTTTAATGTCCAAGAACTATAATTATTTCTTATGTCTAGGAACTATAATACTTCTAGCATCCAGAAACTAAAATTACTTCCAATATCCAGAAACTATAATTACTTCTTATATCCAGGAACTATAATTATTCCCAATATCCAGGAACTACAAGGGCGCTCTGTCGAAGGAGTTTAGAGAGGTTGATATGATTCTCAAGAAGGCTATGATGGGGACAACTGTCAATGAAGAAAGGTTAAATTCAATTTTGAGGAGGAATGTATTTCATTTTTGGCTGATTTTTGGAATCCCTAAAATATTTTTTATGCGCACTAGAAAGAAATATACCTGCTTGTCTGTCTGTCCGTTTGTATCAAAACGACTGAACCAATCGGTTCGAAACAAATATACCTGCTTGTCTGTCTGTCCGTTTGTATCAAAACGACTGAACCAATCGGTTCGAAAGTAATAATCCCAGGACTGCAGGTTTACGGACATAACTAGAAGTACAAAATACAAAATTAAGTATTTCTAAAGAAAAAAATTCTCAAAAATGGTGGTTTTGTGAATATTTACCTTTAAATTTTACAAAATTAATTAATTAAACTTACATTTTTTTAAGTGATTATTTTTGGACAGTTTGTATTTTTCAATGATTTTTCACTACGGTGGGGATAGTATTTGTTTGCACATTTGACTGAATTTTCAAAGTCGTGAGAAAAGACTGCAAGGTCTAAGCTGTCATTGAGACATATCTAATTTCGGTCCATTAAACTGGTTTAATATTGTATTTAGCGGATTTTCATGGTTGGAATTGGCGGATTTCGGAATTTGAGATGAATTCTTATCTAAAACCGACCAAGGTCGGTTTTATTTTCAAAATGTCAAGTCTAAGATTCAGCCTTAAATGTGAGTCTAAGAAATAAGGACTCGAATACATCAGGATATATTGTAAAGAGACCCTATCCCCCTCCTTTCAAGAATTTTTAGTTTTTTACAGTTTACAGAATGTGTATTTGTAGATGGCGCCAATGTGTATCTGATACAGACAACGTACTCGGGTTTGCTCTAGGAGCATTGTTTGTAAACAAAACATTTGACGGAAACTCGAAACCAGAAGCGGAGGAAATGATCAAGGTAGAAAATCTGATTCCAACACTTTTTAATCAGATCGCGCTAATCCACATCAATTCTTAAAGGGAGTGTTCGCGAAAAATGAAAGATAATCGATGACTACAGGTTGTAATATCTGAATGATTTGTTTGAAATAAAATTGATTTTTTTACAGTCTAAGTCGTATGTTGCAATTTTCTCAATGTGTATGGGCGCTACGTTCTTCGGTATGAGACGTCTTTAACAATTTTCTCCTTATAGACGCAACAGATAGAAGTAAGATTAGTAGCGATCAAAAGCGCTTTTTTCATCGCATTAAGCTTATACCCCCTTTCATTTTTCGCGAATGCTCCCTTTAATCTCAATATCTGGAGCGGAAACCTGTGATTACGTAACAAATATACAACTGACTTGTTAATTCTGTGATTCTAGCTTTTGATTGATTGGTTGCGGTTTTTAAAGAGAAATCTAAAGGGAACTAACTGAACCAGTCGCACTGCAAGAGATACTTATTTGTGCTTTCTAAAGGAAAAGTTAAATGTTTAAATTTATCAACGATGCTTTAGAACTATATATTTCAGGCAGTAACAGACGCATTTATAATCGGCCTCAGGAGCAAAAACTGGATTGATAAAAAGGAAAAAGCAGATTTTTCGAAAAAAATAAATTATAGGTTTATAATTTTTTATTCTTGAAAATGATATACATAATTTTTTAATAATGCGTTCAAAAAAGTAATAAAAAAGAATGAAAAATAATTAATTCTCACACTAATAAAATAAATAAAAACCTGTTTTGTATAGACTAAGGTAGAGGCTGAAAGAAAAGCTAAGCAGATCACAAACATGATAGGCATACATTAATAACAATACAGATAGAACACTAGATGTCGTCTTTTCAAGATTTAGGGGTTTTTCGTTCACAATAACCCTAAGGAGTTACGCGCATGCTCTCTCTGTCTTGAACGTTGACTGCGCGGAACTCCTTTGGATTTCTACCTCAGAATTATTGTGAACGAAAAAGCCTTAAATCTAGAAAAGACGGCATCTAGTATTCTATCTGTTATTGTAATTAATCTATAATGATAGGATATCCAGATTATATTAATAATAAAACAGCTCTAGATGAAAAATATATAAAACTGGATGTGAACCAGGTACTAAACTATTATTTAAGGAAATGTTTTATAATTTCAAGGGACCCTTTATTTAAAGTGTGGCATACCAAATTTACAATCGTACCCTATTTTCCAGGGTAACCTCAAATCACAATTGAAATAATAAATTTTCAACATGAAAATTATGGATATCTCATACTTGATTAGTCCTAGTGTTGAGGGTACCGTTGTGAATCGGGCACTCCTCTATAAATGGAATTACGTTTACCGTTCTTTTAAAATGCAATGAAAATATGTCCATCATTGGTTCTCAGGACCCGTTGGGGCCTGAAAACCCCCTGAAATCAATAGATTTCACTGGTAAGGGGGGGGGGGCTTAGCCCCCATAGCCCCCCCCCTGAATACGCCCCTGAGCTCATTAAAACGAAAATTATACCCTTAACCTTAACTTTAACGGTTATGGTGCTAGGGAGGCTTAAAAAAAATATTCAAAAAGTACATAGAAAAATATTAACATGTGACACATGTTCTTAAATTCATTTTTCAAGAGCTTTTCAAATAAATAAGTCTGTAATCAACTCTGTAGCTCAATTACCAAAAAGCTATTAACTATTTTATTAACCCACCAACCAGCCGTTTGACCATCCTCCACTCTCCCTTTGCATAAACAAAATCAAAAATTGTTATATACTTTAAAGTTAAAAAAGTGAAGAAATTTAAAGACTGAATAGTGAAACCCGTTTTTAAGTTATGAAGAAAACCCCAATCGTGATATAGTTACTATATGGGATATAGTTAATATATTGGATATAGTTACTATATGCGATATAGTTAATATATGGAATATATAGTTAATATATGGGATATAGTTAATATATGGAATATATAGTTAATATATGGGATATTTGTAATATATGGGATACAGTTAATATATGGAATATAGTTACTATATGGAATATATAGTTAATATATGGGATATAGTTAATATATGGAATATATAGTTAATATATGGGATATAGTTAATATATGTGATATAGTTACTATATGGGATATTTGTAATATATGGGATACAGTTAATATATGGAATATAGTTACTATATGGGATATAGTTACTATATGGGATATAGTTAATATATGGGATATAGTTAATATATGGGATATAGTTGATATATGGAATATAGTTACTATATGGGATATAGTTAATATATGGAATATATAGTTAATATATGGGATATTTGTAATATATGGGATATAGTTAATATATGGGATATAGTTAATATATGGAAGATATAGTTAATATATGGGATATTTGTAATATATGGGATTATCTAAAAACAGGATTTAGTCCCTTTAAATCTCCGTTTTACATAACGCAGACTAGACATGAAGTCCATGAAGTGTTGCACGCTTAAGCTTTTTTCAAACTTTGCAAAATGAGAAAAGTTTCTTAATTCTAATTTGAATATTTAAAATCCATTGTCCGAAATCTATTTTCTCGTTTCGCCATCTTCACAGTTAATTTCATAATTTATTTTTTGAATCTGAGAATTGTTTATATGATTTTTTAATAACAAATTAAAATTATAATTTTTTTAGGATTATTTTGGGAACAATGTTCGGTTTAACAAATGGAATTTAGAGGAGAATCTGTCCGAGGAATGCTATCAAATATAAATTAGAAATTCCTTTAGTTTTAAATTCTACAAAATATATGAGTCACATCAAATCCTTATCATATTTGAAAATTGTGTACATTTCGATATTAAACATTAACATTTTTAAACTCATGCAAAACGATATATTTTTGTTTTTTGAAGAATGTAAATTATCACTGCATATTTATTTTTTTATTTTAAATNATAATCAACTATAGAGATAAATAAATAAAAAACGGTTTACAAAATAAAGCTGTTAAAGATAACAGACGATTTTGCTTCCTCTGGAAAGATTTGTATTCATTTTGTATTTGTATTTATTTTGTATTTGTATTAATTTTGTATTTGTATTCATTTTATTTCCTGAAAATAAGTCAGTTTTGATTTGAACCTGCGTGCAGTGTATTATTGTTTTATTTATTATTGTATTATTTAAAAAAAAAATCAAATAAATTATTTGATGTAACAGAAATTAAACAAAATATAAAATTGTGGCAAAAACTCAGATCCTTTGAAAGTTTTGGTTTCAGGGAACACAAGTTCCAAACCTGAACATCAGTGTCGGCTCACACAGTTTGAAGTTTTCTTTCCATGTATATTAGTTACTTTTAGAATTTTCTGATCCCTCTATATCCTTGCAACCTAATGGTATAAACCTTTAATATTTCAAACTTAGACTTGATCTAATATAATTCATAGTTTAATATATCTAAGGTCTATGGCATTGGGTTGCAAAGAAGTAAGAATTAGGAAATCAGAATTTGTGGCAAAATCTCAATTTCTTTCAAACATTTAAATGTATTTGTGTTCAGATTGTGTTTCCAGCTGGTATTCTTCAGCTTCCATTCTTCAGTCTTCATAATCCTAAAAGCTTGAATTTCGGAGCTATGGGGGTTGTTATGGGTCATGAGCTGTCTCATGCATTTGACGATCAGGTTTTGTTTTTAATCCAGTTTAGAGAAAATCAGATTGATTGTTGTAGACAAAAATATTTGTTTGGAAGTCTAGTTAAGAGAACCAGACAAGTATTCTGATAATGATGTTCATTAAATCCAACATTATTTATATAGGTTTTGTATAGTAAAAAGTAAAGCTTTATGATTACATATATTACATAAACATCCAGCAAGTAACATTTAAGGGTATTTTATCCTAAAACTACTACTGGTTTGCCGATGATAAGTAACATCTTTAATGTGAGCTGAAAACTTTAAAATGAGATATCCTTAATCCCGATTACTTAATCTGAGTATCCAACAGACAAACTTTTGATTTTCTTCTTAAACCGTCCTTTCTGGGATAAAGTAGAGAACACTAAAAAAACCGGTTTTTCTAAATTAGAGAGTTCCTCCCATTTCTGTATATATAATCTTAAGTGGCGCGCAAAATTTCAAACTTATCGGCTTCATATACACGACTCAGATTGGTTGAATTTTATACAGTTTTCAGGATACAAACACAAGATTAGATTAGTCTCGAGATTAAGAAAAAGAGAGGATCACGCATTAATCTCGATATCCACAATTCTTAAGTTTTCAGCTCGGTAATGTTTGTTTGTTATTTAACTTTATTTAACTTCAACTGAAAAGAAAGGACGAATAGGAAAATTTTTTTATGAATATAAAGTATTTAATAGATCGAGAATGTTAGTGAAAAGGTAATAAAGAAATGTATAGGTATCACACTGTGAAAAAAGCAATATCCAGATTCCAGGGTAAAAAGCTTATTCTGAAAACTAATGAAGAAATAAACCAAGAATTTCAAATTATTTCGTTTATCAATAAACATGTTGCGATACGACGTTTTTAGATTAATGTTTTTTTTCAGAAACAATATTTTCAAAAGTTTCCAAAGGCTATAAGATTAATATTGACAAAGCATAAAACATATTTAGTAAAGAAACATAAATCATATAAAACATATTACCCGTTAAATAAGGATTTGTACTTTTTTGTAGTGTATTAAATAATACTAGATGAAGTGACCGGCGTTGTCCAGGTTACGCATAGATAATCTAGCCGTTTACTCGCGCTTGGTCTAAAATTATGATTTTAGCTGAAGTTCCCGTCGTTGCTCGTGGAATTAAAAAAAATTCAAATTTGTTTTAGCCTGTTTCACTCCCTGGGTATTCGAGGGTTCCTTAAAAAGAGTTCAAATTTGTTTAGCCTATTTCACTCCCTGGGTACCCGAGGGTTTCTTAAAAAAAAATTCAAATTTGTTTTAGCCTATTTCACTCCCTGGGTACCCGGTGTTTGTATAAAATGCCTTCTTTTTGAGCGAGAATTTTATGTTTTTTTAAAAAGAAAATGGTATTGAAGGTTTTAAAAGCTAGTTTTTGTACATTTTCTTTACACTTTTCAGATTATTAAATGCTTTTTTTTCGAAATTAGAAAATGTAAATACTTTCAAACTAGAGGTTTTTGCAGTAGTGAGATTTGAATTTCATGAATCTCACTACCTTAGAACTTGACACTATATACTTTTATTTTATAAAACTGGGGCATTTTATACCTACAGGGGTACCCGGGGGTTCCCTAAACAAATTTTAGCCAATATGGTAAACCCGTTTGGCTTGCCTTAGCGAACATATAGTTTAGCGAGGAGCTTTATTATATAGATAAACTATTTTAAATAAAATATGAAAATACGTCATAGCAGACCGACGTACTTTGTTGTAGATAATTTTAAATGCACACACGTGCTTTCAAACTATATGAAAGGAAGTTATTGCCACAACCTCTATTTTTGTAATCCTATTTTATTTGCAAACCATTGTCCTTATATTTTGTTAGATCAAAGAATCTCAGTTTGAAATCTCAAAAAATTACACTATCAGGTTGAAAAATATATTATTAGAAAATTTGAATTTGTGGCAAAGACTGAATTCCTTTCTAACCCCAGCTCTTTCATGGATACCCTGACAAGAAGAAACATCAGATCTCTAGTATCAATTTTCAAATCCTGTTTTTTAGTTTTATTCTTAACCCTATACAGAATGGGGGGGGCGTTCGGCGCCCCCCTGTAGTTTTTTTGACCTACCACTATCATTTCTCTAAGGAGGGGCGCCAAACGCCCTACCCCCAGGCTATACATAGATTCAGACCCCCCAGCCTTTATAGGGTTAAAAACGCCCCCCTCCCCCGCTATACATATATTAACACACCCCAGCCTTTATAGGGTTAAATGTATAGGGTCGAGAATATGATGGTGACGGAAATATGCGAGGATGGTGGGAAAACAAGGTAAGAATTATAGTTTAATTTCCAAACATTTTAACAAAAAATTTAATGTAATTTCTTTTCCTTTCTATTGTTTTGTAACGATGTTATAAATGGTTAACACTTGCAGATATATTATTTTAGTACCTACTACAGTATAAGATGAGGGTTGGGTGTATGGAGGATCAGTATTGTATTGTTTAGTACCTACTACAGTATAAGATGAGGGTAGAGTGTATGGAGGATCAGTATTGTATTGTTTAGATCCTACTACAGTAAAAGATGAGGGTAGGGTGTATGGAGGATCAGTATTGTATTGTTTAGACCCTACTACAGTATAAGATGAGGGTATGCTGTATGGAGGATCAGTATTGTATTGTTTAGACCCTACTACAGTATAAGATGAGGGTAGGGTCTATGGAGGATCAGTATTGTATTGTTTAGACCCTACTACAGTATAAGATGAGGGTAGGGTGTATGGAGGATCAGTATTGTATTGTTTAGTACCTACTACAGTATAAGATGAGGTTATGCTGTATGGAGGATCAGTATTGTATTGTTTAGACCCTACTACAGTATAAGATGAGGGTAGGGTGTATGGAGGATCAGTATTGTATTGTTTTGACCCTACTACAGTATAAGATGAGGGTAGGGTGTATGGAGGATTAGTTTATTGTATTGTTTATACCCTTCTACAGTATAAGATGAGGGTAGGGTGTATGGAGGATCAGTTTATTGTATTGTTTAGACCCTACTAAAGTATAAGATGAGGGTATGCTGTATGGAGGATTAGTTTATTGTATTGTTTATACCCTACTACAGTATAAGATGAGGATATGCTGTATGGAGGATCAGTTTATTGTATTGTTTAGACCCTACTACAGTATAAGATGAGGGTAGGGTGTATGGAGGATTAGTTTATTGTATTGTTTAGACCCTACTATAGTATAAGATGAGGGTAGGGTGTATGGAGGATCAGTTTATTGTATTGTTTAGACCCTACTACAGTATAAGATGAGGGTATGCTGTATGGAGGATTAGTTTATTGTATTGTTTATACCCTACTACAGTATAAGATGAGGGTATGCTGTATGGAGGATTAGTTTATTGTATTGTTTAGACCCTACTACAGTATAAGATGAGGGTATGCTGTAGGAGAGAACGTGAACGGAAAACAGACAGTTGGGGAGAATATTGCAGATAACGGAGGATTAAAGGTATTTTACAATTCATTTAGGTATTGCAACAAATTCAAATTTTCTAAAACCTTTCTATGAAACCTGTTGGCAAAAACTTTTGATATTTCCAACTTCGATTGTTTTATTTGATATATTGAAATCTACGTCTTTAGGTTGCAATGATAAATGGGTTTGAAAATCAGAATTGTTTTTTTACAAAGACTCAATTTCTTCAAATTACTGAATGTTTCATAACAGTAGGAAGACTAAAAAAGCTTTTTAAAAAGTCCAATTATAGCATGAAATGTACAATTGTGCATCGCACTATACTAGGGTGTCCAGCGAAAGAAAACTTTTGCAAAAATTTGCAATTTTCACAAATTTTCGCGAAATTTTCGCAATTTTATATACGAACAGAATGCGAAAAAATAATAGATTTTAAAAAACATTAAAACGTTTGGTTTAAAAATTTAAATAAATGTATTATTCGTTTTAGTCTTACTTGTTAGTCCTTCTTTTAAAAACCACTATCTCTATATTGAAAAAATCTTTGTTTTCTCAGAACAAATAATTTTGAGTGTCTAAAACGGTTGCTAAGAAGTTCCCCTTTCCCGTAGATATTTAAAATCAAAATGACTGTAAGCGAAATTTAAATTGGCACTCCATGCAAATATGGCAATGCACAATTCACAACAGTACCTTTTAATCTAATTAGATAATTGGATATAAATGTTTTTTGATTTAAAAAACTTATTATTTTCAATTTTGGTTTGTTGAAAAAAGTGAATTTCAAATTTCTACAACAGGAAAAAAGATAGCATAATTAAACCCCTTTAAACCAAGAAAAAAAACACTATTTTCTCCATTTTTGATCAGATAAAGGTTTGTTGTGAATTTAGCATTGACATCTTTGCATGGTGGGTCACTTAAAATTACGTTACAGTCCCTTTAATTATTTGATAAATTATCTACATACATAACTCTAATTTAGTTTTTAATTCTCTCTTGTTGCAGGCTTCATATGAGGCTTATCAAAGTTGGTTAAAGAAGAACCCTGGAGCTGAGAGTGGGTTGCTTCCAGGAGTTAATCTTACTCATAATCAACTATTCTTCCTCTCATTTAGCCAGGTTTAATCTCACTCATAATCAACTATTCTTCCTCTCATTTAGCCAGGTTTGATCTCACTCATAATTAATTATTCTTCCTCTCATTTAGCCAGGTTTAATCTCACTTATAATCAACTATTCTTCCTCTCATTTAGCCAGGTTTAATCTCACTCATAATCAACTATTCTTCCTCTCATTTAGACAGGTTTAATCTTAATCATAATCAACTATTCTTACTTTCATTTAGTCAGGTTTAATATCACTCATAATCAACTATTCTTCCTCTCATTTAGCCAGGTTTAATCTTAATCATAATCAACTATTCTTCCTCTCATTAAGCCAGGTTTAATCTCACTCATAATCAACTATTCTTCCTCTCATTTAGCCAGGTTTAATCTTAATCATAATCAACTATTCTTACTTTCATTTAGTCAGGTTTAATCTCACTCATAATCAACTATTCTTCCTCTCATTTAGCCAGGTTTGATTTCACTCATAATCAACTATTCTTCCTCTAATTTAGTTAGGTTTAATCTCACTCATAATCAACTATTCTTCCTCTCATTTAGTTAGGTTTAATCTTAATCATAATCAACTATTCTTTCTCTCATTAAGTTAGGTTTAATCTCACTCATAATCAACTATTCTTCCTCTCATTTAGCCAGGTCTAATCTTAATCATAATCAACTATTCTTACTTCCATTAAGTTAGGTTTAATCTCACTCATAATCAACTATTCTTCCTCTCATTTAGCCAGGTTTAATCTTAATCATAATCAACTATTCTTCCTTTCATTTCGTCAGGTTTAATCTCACTCATAATCAACTATTCTTCCTCTTATTTAGCCAGTTTTAATCTCACTCATAATCAAATATTCTTCCTTTCATTTAGTTAGGTTCAATCTCACTCATAACCAACTATTCTTCCTCTCATTTAGCCAGGTTTAATCTTACTCATGATAAACTATTCTTCCTCTCATTTAATTAAGGTTGAATCTCACTCATAATCAACTATTCTTTCTTTCATTTAGCCAGGTTTGATCTCACTCATAATCAACTATACTTCCTCTCATTTAGTTAGGTTTAATCTTACTCATGATCAACTATTCTTCCTCTCATTAAGCCAGGTTTAATCTCACTCATAATCAACTATTCTTCCTCTCATTTAGCCAGGTTAAATCTTAATCATAATCAACTATTCTTACTTTCATTTAGTTAGGTTTAATCTCACTCATAATCAACTATTCTTCCTCTCATTAAGTATAGAGCTGTAAAATCTAAGCCCAAGGCGTTGCGACACTTCAAAGTCGACCCTCTCTTAAAAATGGATGAGACTGTTTCTAAACAGTCTGAATCTATCCCTTTTAAAACCAATCTTTTTCACCTTTTTCTCCTATATCAAAGAAACTGATTGGAATGATTGGAATGCAAAGACGTAACAGAAAATTATTATTTTTTCTAGAAAATTTATTGTTTTAAAGCATTAACCTTTCTACTGTTATCCTTTTTTCTGTTTAGCAACTCTTGCAAGGCTGCAAATTAAACAACAATTTAAAACTTTTTTTACTTTGAGACATTTATATTGTCTTTATTTAATTAATTGAACAATATACTTCATATTATCTAAACTTTTATTGGTTTTGTAAACTCTGCCTTGATGTGCATAGGGTAAACTGTGAAGGGTATAACATAATTTAATGATTGTTAGCGCCAAAATTATACGTTTCTTCAAAAAAAGGACAGATGACAAAAGATTTTTTTTTTTAAGGTTTGGTGTTCATTATCAACCCCTGAATCTGAACACTATTCTCTTATAGAGGATGCTCATAGTCCACCCAGGTACAGGCTGAACACTATTCTCTTATAGAGGATGCTCATAGTCCACCCAGGTACAGGATCGAAACAGAAATGCTTAAAAAATAAATTTTCTTATTTTTCTGGATTTTTTATGTATTTTTTTTATTTGGTTCAGCGTGATAACGGTGTTGATTTAATCAAGTGTTTGGTCAAGCATTATTTAAAACGCTCTTGATTTTTCAGTTATTTTAATTTTTCTTCAAAATTCACCTTTAAGTCAACAACTTTTGTTATTATGTAAATATGAATATTTTTTATCATGTTTCGGAGATTTGTTTTGTTAACATTTTTACAGCACCAGTTTTATCTGGCAATCGGAAAATGTTTAGTTTAGAAGTTCAGCCAATTCGTAACTTTGACCTTAGAANATACAAGGCTTTCAGGGCGATTCGCGCCTATCTTCTATTTCTACTGTGAACATCTTCGTATATATTGTAAAACAATAACAAAAAAGTTTGCGGACTTAAAAAAGAAATTTGTGGATTTTCAATAGCTAATTAAAATCGAATTTTGTTGGAGAGGATGGGCATTTCAATTACTAAATAACTTTATGAAAATTCTTTAATTTTCTTCTATAATGAGGAGTTTACTGTATGTATGCTAATTAACATATATATTACATAATAATATACATCTAGAGCTATTCAGTATATTCCAAGAACACAGATCTAATTTGGCAAACCATGGATGAATGTCTATGTAAGAGGGGTTTTCAATAAAACATTTTACTCTAAAACGCCATTTTAACCTTCAAAAGGAGGCCTAATATTAGAAAATCTGACCGTTCTCTTTTTCTAAGATTTTGGAAACAAACTTATAATTTTATTTTTACATTAATCTCAACACTATTCTCTTATAGAGGATGCTCATAGTCCACCCAGGTACAGGATCGAAACAGAAATGCTTAAAAAATAAATTTTCTTATTTTTCTGGATTTTTTATGTATTTTTTTTATTTGGTTCAGCGTGATAACGGTGTTGATTTAATCAAGTGTTTGGTCAAGCATTATTTAAAACGCTCTTGATTTTTCAGTTATTTTAATTTTTCTTCAAAATTCATCTTTAAGTCACCAACTTTTGTTATTATGTAAATATGAATATTTTTTATCATGTTTCGGAGATTTGTTTTGTTAACATTTTTACAGCACCAGTTTTATCTGGCAATCGGAAAATGTTTAGTTTAGAAGTTCAGCCAATTCGTAACTTTGACCTTAGAATTGATCGCTGGATTTATGGGGGTATGGGGGGGGATCTAATTAGNATAGAATGTATTTCATTTCGAATTACGTCATCAAAAACTAATAAAAACTATTCTTATAATATTTTTTATATGTTAAGGTTACGAGTACTGGGAACTCTTTCTAACTCTGATTACTTCTCAGAAACATATAAATGTAAAGAGGTAAAAAACATGATTTGTTAGAAAAGACATTATTTAAAAAGAAAAAAAAATGTTTTGATTTTTTTTATGTACAAACTTTGATTTTTCTAATCCTTTTTTCTTTGTAATCCAATGCCGTAGACCTAAAATATTGCAAATTATGAATTTTATATTTCACATTTAGATCTTTTATTTTATTGGATATTTTATTGGAGGTTTTTTTGAAATTTTCCCTGGGGTTACTTGAGGTCCTACACAAAATTTGGGCCCGATCGGTTCAGCCGTTTTTACGTTCAAGGCACACAAACAAACAGAAAGAGAGACAGCCTCAAGCAAAGTATATATTTATTTAGAAGAACTACAGTTTTTGATCTTAATTTGACATTTTTCTTATGTTCAGGGAAGCAAGATGAACCCTGAACGAGCAAAGAAATGTACTGTATGGTAAATGCATTTAGGCGAACAATTAAACCAGATCATTTTCTGGTAATTAAAAATAATTAAAAATTGGAAAACTGTACGAAAAAAAGAATATTCATTTCAGTCGATATTATAAATGAATACATATTTTAATGGGGTTGTCTCCTTAAAAACGTTATTTTAGTTGCAATACTGAAGAAAATTGTTCATGCACAATTAGGCATTAAAGGTGTTCCTCAAATCGACTTAAAGCACAAAAAACCTAAACTAAAATCATTCTTTTTAAGACAACCATATGAAGTGAAAATATGTTGGCTTATAGCTTATTTTAATTTGTTTAGTATTACACTCAAATATAAAATGCATGTCTATTATCCCCTAATTAAAGCATATTTTGTCAAATTTTGCTAAATTTTGTTTTGTATAATCATTTTTAATGAATACAAGAAAAAGTAATGTTTTATAAAACAAGTATTCGAAAATATCTAAAATATTAAACTACAAAATTTTGCATTTATCAATAGCATTGAGGGTTTCAACAAAAATAGCAAATGTTTCCCATTTAATCTATTTTAAATATTTGTAACCAAGCATTACAGTTTTTCATAAGACGCCTAAATTTATTAAAAAATCTCTAAAATTTACATTAGTTTAACCATTTTAAGCTTGCACAATGGACTTTCATTGATTAAAATACTCTCAAGAAAAAAATATTTATTTTAAATTTGTTTTATTTTGTTTGTTAGTGCATTAGTATATCTGTTTTATGGAATATTGTGATATTAACCATAATTGTAGGATATCATCATAGATCTCGCCATATTGTTATTCATAGATAAATGTGAAATATTTATTAAAAATATATGTAGTCAAGTATTTGTGAAAATAAATGTATTGTTTATTATTTCTGGCTTCTCTTTTTATACGAGTATACTAGACTAGGCTACTTATTAACACTTTTAATTTTTACTTTGAACTCTGAAAGTCGTCATATTTCATTTTAACCGTTCGCGGATTTTCTGTATAAATTGGCGCATTTTCAAAAATATTAAACTTTTAGCAATGTTTACAGATAGATGTTTGTATTCAATGATAATAATTTGTTACACCCTAACACATAATAAAGCACGAAAATCTGTCCCTTTACTAAAAGTAAATTCAGCCTATATGAACCATACAAGGCTTTCAGGGCGATTCGCGCCTATCTTCTATTTCTACTGTGAACATCTTCGTATATATTGTAAAACAATAACAAAAAAGTTTGCGGACAGCCTAATATTAGAAAATCTGACCGTTCTCTTTTTCTAAGATTTTGGAAACAAACTTATAATTTTATTTTTACATTAATAGAAAAAACTTAATCATGTTTTTTTTCAGAGACACTCGGTATGTAAGCGCATCGTCATTCATGAAATACGATTTTTTTTATTTAATACAATATGATGTGGGACACCAACTTGTTATTCATATTATGGTTTATATATTGCAATATCAAATATAGATTTAGTTCAATTTTACTGTTTTACAAACTACAGCCTATTTAATGATTCCTTAACTGAGTTTAATTTAATACAGATAAAGGTAGTAGGGCTGGGCAAAGTAAAAAATTTTTTTTTTTTTTGAAAATTAAGCCATTCATTTTTTTTCTTTTTATGTTTATCTTAAAGTTAAATCTCAAATCAATTTAAAAAGTTTATTATCAATTCCTTTTTCACTTCCAATACTGATCTCGATCATCGAGTCTATTTAGAGGAGGGAGTTCAAGCCCATCGTTTACTCTTGGTTCGAACCCCTTGTTTACTCCTGGTTCGAACCCCCTGTTTACTCTTGGTTCGAACCCCCTGTTTACTCCTGGTTCGAACCCCCTCCCCCTCTCTTCCCATCTAGGTCCCTCTTCTATTAGTTCCAAATCTCTAGGGTTTCGAACTATTCTTGGACTTAAAACTCGACCTGAAAAAGTGATTATTAATTTTTCTAAGAGACTGAATTTCTATATGGGCATCAATTCGAGATTCTTCTTAATTTTAAGAAAGCCAATTTTCTCGTGACAATTAGATGTTAATCATAACCATTTTTCTAAACAAGATTTCTTTTGGCATACAGTTTTTAAAAATTGGATTTTTCAACAAAGTAGAATTCTCAGATTCTTGAACGAGTTTACCATTCTGTCTAAGGCTAAAAAATTGGATTTTTTTTTTTCAAAATTCGACTTTTAAAGAAAAATTCCAAGGGAAACGCCGGGCACTTCAGCTAGTAATCAATTCTGGACAAACAATGGCCGAGTTGCATTAGGTTTCTTCTATTTGATTTCAACCATGTTTTGGTCTATATAATTTAACAACAAATAAAGGTTGTGTTTCTTATACTTTTTAATTATAAACATATCTGCTGACAAAAAAAAAGAGTTTAAGAAAAAAACGAAATTGTTACGAATTTAATAGTTCAAATTGTAATCGAAAGTCATAGTTTACTAGGATAGGACTGAACTGTTGAATCCGCGTGATAGATAATACCTGGGTGGTGACTGGCATTTTCTTCTTGCTCATGATTTTCAAAATTGTTTTTATTGACCTCAACAAGCTCTACAAATTAAAAATTAGATTTTTTTTCAATTTAAAAATTAATTCTGTTACCTTGTTTCATTGCCTGCTTCTGAAAAAAAATATTATTATTAAACAAGTGAAATTATTAGTTATGAAATGTAATTGTACAAAACATACAGCTGGTTACCCACAAACGATGAGACTTCATAGACGACTGTACGGAATTAATAAACTTATATCATTTTTGTTAAATCATTAAATAAGCTATTAAAAGTCTTTTTTCAAAGGTAAAGCTTTAATTTAATCTTGAAATTGACATATTTTAAGAGTTTCAGGTCGTCTTTACAGCCTCATATTTTGTGGGTAGCCCTTCAATTTAACGTTGTTGCATACAGTGATAACCAGAAAATTCTGGAATAAAAGGACGACTTTTAGACTCAAGTTATGACCAATGAACATGAGACAAAGCAATTGTGAAGTGTACAGACATGAATAATTAATTTAAATGAAATACAATTAATTATTGTTGTAATGTTGTCTTTATATTCCACAGTTTTCTGGTCCTCGCTGTACTAAAAAATATTGCAACCTGTCTATAGTTGTTAGCTATCACCCAAGTATATATATTCCCGATTACCATTCCAACTAAAATAACAAAATTATCATATGACGGCACAGAGATTGTTTCTATTCTAAACCCTTTTCCTGTGGGGGGGGGGGGTCGACCCCCCACCCACCTTTCTTTTTATATTGCTTAAAAACTGTAATAGATACAATTTTTTGACTTTTCCTAAATATAATTTTCCAAAATCTTAGAAAAAAGTTGATTGCCTATGGATCCAGGAATACTGCCAGAAATAGGCTTGTTTTACCTCCTAGATTATAGTTGCTTAAATACCACTAAAAATGTTCCAATTTTGATCAATTGCTTTATGGAAAGCTGAAATCCAGGAGATACAATTTTTTTTCAAATTTTCCCTCATTTTACATATTGGCCCAAATTTGCAACAAAATATGCGCTACAACCAACAGTTAATTCATTCCTTTAAACAGTTATAGTGTGGAAAGCTGCTGAGAAGAGTATATCAACCATACTATAGTTTCAATTAGTTTTGCAACATTTTTCGCGCAGTTTTTAAATGTTTGTCTTACACAGGTTTTGCAAACACCTGTTTTTTCATTACATACATTTTACGAGCTCATAACTCAAAAAGAAAGTAAGCAAATAGCTTGTGAAAACTTTTGAAATTTTTTTGCATTATTTTTCTTATTTCTTTCTTTGAAAATATTTTATTATTTTTGAAATAGTGCTTTCCAAAAATGTGTTAAATGTGTTTTAAATTTGTGCTAAAAAAGTTAAGAAAAAATCCGCATCCAACAATCTTTTTGAGTTACATATCATTATACAATATATATCAAAAGATATTTTCAACTTTTTGATAATTTCACCAATTTTAAAATCGTTTTCATGAAATAAAAAAAACTTTTTATGCAATCTAATCATTCTCCGAATCTAACATCTTCTATAATATAAAGCTCTTCGCTTATTTATATATATTTTTAGGTATGGATGTATTAGGTAAGACTATATGTCGGCTATAGCTGGCCAATTGGCTGGACTGAAAGGGCTGACATTTTTGAGGGAACCCTTGAATTCCCGAGGCTAAAAAATCGAAATTTTTTTTCTTGAAATTTTTATTTTTTTCGATTTTTTTTCAAAATACGATTTTTTAAAAATTCCACGGACAACGCCGGGCAAATTAAACGTACAAATTCATACCTATGGTAAGTATAGAAAAAATATGAGCAATGTTCCAGTCTAGAACAAGACCTTCAAACGGTTGTCTTCGTTCTGCATCTGCATTTGAAGAAGCTAAGACCTAAACGAATATTGATCGTGAATTGAAACAAAAACAAATTAACTTTTAATAATATCGTTTAATGGATTGAATTAATATTTTTGTAAAACTAAATTTAATCATAAAATTTTGCAAATTTTGTATGTGTACTTTTGTGTACTCTCAGGAAAAAATGTAGATTGTATAATACTTTTTAATGCAACGTTTTTGAATTCCGATCTTCCATCTTCCCTTAAGTCAGTGATTTGTCACAAAAATTGTACCTTATCCAATTACAGCCTTTTTGTCGCTTATTGGATACAAACAGACATTTAAAACATATATATGACGTCATACTAAAGTAAATTGCATATAAGATTAAAATCATATGTGTTTTCAATCATAACTCCTCTTGTTGAACAGCTATTGAGAAGAATAAAAAATGTTTTGAATTTCTTATATGAAACCAAATAAATTTGTTTTTCTTGACATTGTGCAAAAAATGAAAGCTAGACGAGCTACGAGGTCACAAAGTTGTAATATGCAGTGATTTAGCATAGATTTTACCTTCTCCCTCTGTCTAGTTTGCAGTGATATATTCATTGTCGTATAAATCAATACAATCAAGACGAATTTTTGTATTTCTTCCAAGCATTCAAACAGCAGGAATACACGTTAAAACATAGAAGCAAAGGGAAGCTTATCATTAACTTAGAAGCACAGAGAAGCTTATCATTGATATGGAAGCACAGAGAAGCTATTCATTAATATGGAAGCACAGAGAAGCTCATCATAAACATGAAAGCACAGAGAAGCTATTTATGAAAATGAAAGGAAAGAGAAGCTAATCTCCAACATGGAAGCACAAAGAAGCTCTTAATTAACATGGAAGCACAGAGAAGCTCATCATTGACATGGACGCACAGGGAAGCTTACCATTAACATGGAAGCACAGGGAAGCTCATCATTAACATAGAAGCACAGAGAAGCTTATCATTAACATGGAAGCATAGAGAAGTTTATCATTAACATTAAAGCACAGAGAAGCTTATCATTAACATAAAAGCACAGAGAAGCTTATCATTAACATGGAAGCACAGAGAAACTCATCATTTACATGGAAGCATAGAGAAGTTTATCATTAACATTGAAGCACAGAGAAGCTCATCATTAACATAGAAGCACAGAGAAGCTCATCATTAACATGGAAGCCCAGAGAAGCTCATCATTAACATGAAAGCACAGAGAAGCTCTTCATTGACATGGAAGCACAGAGAAGCTCATCATTAACATAGAAGCACTGCGAAGCTTATCATTAACATGGAAGCACAGAGAAGCTCATCATTAACATGGAAGCACAGAGAAGCTCATCATTAAATTTTTACTTTTTAATGAAATTTATCAAAATCAAAGAGTTTTTGAACAATATATATTTATTTTTTGTTTATTTCAGCATAAAAAGCTAATTTAGACATATAACATTTTTAACGAGAATTGAGCATTTTGGAATCCAAATCATTTGATATGCTTCAAGACAATTACATTGTTTAAGTTAAAGAAACTTAGCAGTTGTCCAACGTACGTTTCTTTTTATCTTTATTTTTAAAATGAATTGAGGGTTATTGTTAAATGATAAGTTTAGGATATAAAAAAACAAAAATAGCTCGATAAGGAAAAGGTTAAGGTTTGCAAATAAATGGTTAGAAAACTTAGAGTTTAAGACACTTGAACATTTCCTTTTTTCTGAATTTGCAAAAATTCAAATTTGTATTGCAAAATCCAGTAATTAAGCTTAAAATGAGTGAAATAAATTATGAATTATTAATTTGAAAAATTTTCAATTTAGATTTGAAAAATTAAACCTACCGATAAAAGAAGATATATTTTTAGCAGGATATCCTTCTCAACGACTACAGATATAATTAGGATTGTATCAAATCCAATTACAAGGAAATTCTAAAAAAAAAATTATTTTTTTATTTACCATTTTTTATATGCCCCAATAAATCCTGGCATTGAGTGACGACATTTAAATCTTCTTTAAATTTCAAGTTTAACTGTGATAATTTTGTATAAAAATATGGTCACGGACACGGTATGATGGGCAAAAATTTTAAAGATGTTTAAACTTTAAGAAGGCTGCCATATTTTAGAAGTTTTACAATATTTTAAATTTTTTATTCTACACAATTTACTTTCAAGTTTTAAGTTTAAAAATCTTAACAGTTTTAGAAAAACGAACCAAATTATTGCCCATTACAATATGCAGCCAGCTCTCTTGTTCTAATTATATTTAAACTTTTGTAGTTTGGGTCTTAATAAATAAATTCAACTGGTAAAAAATTCTAAACCTAACTTTCAAATCATGCAGCAAATAATAAAAGATGTCCCAATAAACGCAGGCATTAAATTTAAATAGGGTTTCCAGCGTACAAAATGTTCGTTTGTATCTCGCAATCATTTTTGCAAAATTTGATATTTTTTCTCGAAAATATGCGAACAAGTTGCAAAATTTAAAATTTAACGTATTTTTATGAAAAAAAGTGTTGTAGCTGCAAAATTTAATTGCGCAACAAAAATTGAACAACTGCTTGAAATGACCGTTCTTTTTTATTTTCCCTTTAGATTAAAATTCTGATTAGTATAAATTTAAGCAAATTTTGACATAGTTTTGAAATTTTAAAACCTTACGATATTTTTGTCGCGTCAAGTTTCAAGTTCAAAAACATTTTAATTTCTAGAAAAACGAACCAAATTATTGTCCATCACAATATGTACGACGCATGGGGTTTCCAAAATGTAGTCTACTCATTTGATCTAATTATATTTAAACTTTTATAGTTTGGGTCTCAATAAATAAAATTAAACTATTAAAACATTCTCAATATCCAATTCATTTTTTAATGATCAAAATCACAGGTCTCGGGGAAGGCACTGCCCCCTACAACCCCCCACATGTATACGGCCTTGTTGATAATCTATACTTTACCGTCAGTTTTGTAAATCCGAACATAATCAGACTCCAGCCCCATTTTGCAAAGATATTAAGAGAATTAAGACCTGTTTTAGACCCATTATAAATTTTATATATATATATATATATATATAATTATAAATAAAATAATAAAAAAAACTTACAGCTGTGAGTAACCAGTTCCACGCTAGAGGGTAGTCTACCAACCAGTTGACCACATCAGCTGGTCGTGCCGGCCCAATGTTTCGCATAGTTGGTACTAACGGTGCTCGTAGCTCCCTAGTAACAGGTAGGTAAGGGCACTTTTGGTTTTCTTGTCGTTTTGGAAAATTTTAAAACGGTCGTTTTAAAAATGGGCGTTTAAAAAATGGTTTTGAGTTTTTAAACGGAAAACATTATCGCTATTGTTTCCCGTTTAAAAAGCAAAAACGATATAAATCCCTAGTTACAGGGTAATAAAAAAGTAAAGTATAAATGATATTCTCTATGACTTCAGATAAACGTTTCTTTGTTTGCTTGATTATAACAAATTTTAATTACTAATTTGAAATTATGCTGATTTATAGCTTTTAATTGGAAAAACTGCTTTTGGAATAAAAAAAAACGATATTTTAAAACAATTAAAAATATTTTCAATTTTTTTTTTGCTCATTGTTATACCTTGTCCACGTATTACCAATATTGATTGAGAAAAGTGCAGAATCTGCTACAAGAAGAGATATGCCTAAAACAAATATAAAATTACGAAATTAGAAAAATAATACATACAACTTTTGAACAGCATTCATAGTTTTTAGTGCAAAGACAATTTAAAATTCCTGTTATTTTGGCTAAAGTGGCTGAAAAAAGAGTTCCCACAGATTTGGGATTGGGGGAATGATCAGTATTTTTTAAGCCATTTATTAAAGTTTAGTTAAAATAGCTAGGCGCAACAAACTTTTTAGGGAGCCGTTTGTTATAACCCATAAACATTGAATGTGTTTACGGTATTTTCCGTTTTTCTTAAAACTACTGTCTGATAACAGGATAAACTACTGTCTGATAACAGGATAAACTACTGTCTGATAACAGGATAAACTGCTGTCTGATAACAGGATAAACTACTGTCTGATAACAGGATAAACTACCGTCTGATAACAGGATAAACTACTGTCTGATAACAGGATAAACTACTGTCTGATAACAGGATAAACGGAAGAGGTTTAAGAAATTGCTAACAGCGCCATGTATACTAATTGAAGCCGTTAAAAAGTATTGGTAAGAAAAATTAGAAGATTCTATATTCAAAAACATAAAAACAATTTAAAATGCATCTTTTTTCCTGCAAGTTTTATGCAACTTTATCCAAAAAATTTTAAAAGTCGACATTCTGCTGAAACCTATCCGTTTGTTCTTTTAAGTTTTCGTTCATTTTATTTATGAATGGTCATTTTTGTTTGGTAATAATTTTGAAATTAACCATTTTTGCCGTTTTTAACAGGACTTTCCGTACAAAAATTACCGCTTGTTAATAAAATGTTGCCCAGCCCTAGTTCCATCATGTTATCGTTTATAGGAACAAAATCGTTGGGTTTTTATATATTATTTTAAACATTTGTGGAATGTCTTTCAGTTTTTTACATACAATTCTAACTTTTGTTAGATCATGTATAAAAATCAGATACACAATGAAAAAATTATTAATTAAAATTATGAGCGATATTTCTAATCAGGAGACTTAATATTGACAAGACGTTCATGCCTTCTTTTGCTGGATTTATAAATTGTTTAAAATTTTCAAAATGAAAAATGAAAGAAATAATAAAATATCGTCTTTGATTGGTGAAAATATTTGCGGCATTTATCCTTAAACCTAATTATAGAAGTAAAATTCTAGAGTTAATTATCACCCCTTGTCTGTGCATTTCCAAAATGTGGTCTGCCTTTTAGTGCTTTTAGTATTACCGGAAATATTAGGATTTTCATTAAGATTTCGACATTTTTGGTTTTATTTAATAAAATTTAAATCTGAACGCAATTGTTAATATTTCATTGTTACATATGAAATTTCTAGCAGTCATTAAATCACACACCAAAAAGAGAACAAAATAGTTGAACATTTCTCTTAAAAATGAAACAAATAAAGAAACAAAGTTATAAAAACAATGAACTAAAGTGATGTAATCATGTAGGTATAATGCTACTACAGTGTCCACAGTTTCAGATTTCCTGTGCTCTTCTCAATCCAGATCCACAGGTTTGGGTTTCCTGTGTTCTTCTCTATCCAGATCCGCCGGTTCGGGGTATCATGTGCTCTTCTCTTAGTCAAGATCCACAGGTTCGGGTTTCCTGTGCTCTTCTCAATCCAGATTCACAGGTTCGGGTTTCCTGTGTTCTTCTCTATCCAGATCCGCCGGTTCGGGGTATCATGTGCTCTTCTCTTAGTCAAGATCCACAGGTTCGGGTTTTCTGTGCTCTTCTCAATCCAGATTCACAGGTTCGGGTTTCCTGTGCTCTTCTCAATCCAGATCCACAGGTTCGGGTTTCCTGTGTTCTTCTCCATCCAGACCCACATGTTCGGGTTTCCTGTGCTCTTATCAATCCAGATCCACAGGTTCGGGTTTCCTGTGTTCTTCTCCATCCAGACCCACAGGTTCGGGTTTCCTGTGCTCTTCTCAATCCAGATCCACAGGTTCGGGTTTCCTGTGCAGTGCTCTTCTCAATCCAGACCCACAGGTTCGGGTTTCCTGTGCTCTTCTCAATCCAGACCCACAGGTTCAGGTATCCTGTGTTCTTCTCCATCCAGACCCACAGGTTCGGGTTTCGTGTGCTTTCCTCAATCCAGATCCACAGGTTCGGGTTTCCTGTGTTCTTCTCAATCCAGATCTACAGGTTCGGGTTTCCTGTGCTCTGCTCAATCCGAATCCACAGGTTCGGGTTTCCTGTGTTCTTCTCAATCCAGATCCACAGGTTCGGGTTTCCAGTGCTCTTCTCAATCCAGACGTACAGGGTTGGGTTACCAAGATTCCTTGTGATTTTATTTTATCCCGAGGCTACATACAGCCGTCGATCCACAGGTTTGAGTTTCCACAGAGGGAGGGGGGCAGGGTTAGATATCTCAGGCCGAAGAATTTTAGGGGAGAGGGTGTGGCGACAACAATTTTGTTTTGAAAGACCTGCAATAAGAACAGTTTTGTGTAAAGTTATACCACAGCAACCCCCAGAATATGGCATTTTATGTCTATAAATCATTTTTTAACTCAATGCTAAATTATCTTTTTTATAATACAAATATAATTTGAATAGCCCGAGATGGAATTCAAAGAATTTAAGCCGCAATTTAAATCCGCCAAAACCCGGTTTAAATTAAGAGCCGGTTTAAATCTTGAAACAGTTGATACCATTTTAAGTGGAATCAATCATATTTAAACCGCGGCTTAAATTAAAGCCGCCGCTCAAATTCTTTAAATTCGGCCACTGGTCTATGAAACTGATAAACACGTAAAAAATTAATTTGTGGCAAATTGGTTAAGGGGGTTCCTGAGTTATGATCGTACAAACAAAGAGACAAACAGAGATTACAACTTTAAATATATCAAAGATTATGCTCGAAGATTTTGTATAGAATTTGCTGTAATACAATGCATATACACTAATCCATTGAATTGATTTTACTGTAATACAATTAATAGACCGATCTATTATACTGATTTTACTGTAATACAATTAATAGACCGATCTATTGAACTGATTTTACTGTAATACAATGAATATACTAATTGTTTGAACTGTTTTACTGTAATACAATGAATAAACTGATCTATTATACTGATTTTACTGTAATACAATGAATATACTAATCTATTGAACTGATTTTACTGTAACACAATGAATATACTTATTTATTATACTGATTTTACTGTAATACAATAAATATACTTATTTATTATTCTGATTTTACTGTAATACAATGAATATACTTATCTATTGAACTGATTTTACTGTAATACAATAAATACATTAATTCATTAAACTGATTTTACTGTAATACAATGAATATACTTATCTCTTGAATTGATTTTACTGTAATAAAATTAATATACTTATTTATTATACTGATTTTACTGTAATACAACGAATATACTTATCTATTGAACTGATTTTACTGTAATACAATGAATATATTAATTCATTAAACTGATTTTACTGTAATACAATGAATATACTTAACTATTCAACTGATTTTACTGTAATACAATGAATACACTAATTCACTGAAGTGGTTTTACTGTAATACAATGAATACATTAATTCACTGAACTGATTTTACTGTAATACAATGAATACACTAATTCACTGAACTGATTTTACTTTAATACAATGAATACACTAATTCACTGATCTGATTTTTCTTTAATTTATTGAATATACTGATATCTATGAAATATAATACAATACATATACTAATCTAAGAAACTTATACAACAAATAGAATGATTTCTAATTTAGTTTACTGTAGCACAATGTATAAATTAATCAACTGAACTGATGTAAAGACGGTAGAAAGTTAGTACTAAGGACAACACATTGTATTGGTCATTTTCTTTATGAATTATTTAGTTCTTGTTTTCAGGCATATTAAATAAATAGTTTAAACTCAGAAAAAAATTCCATATTAACATAATGAATTAAAAATTAGTTTAATACATTTTCTGTTATGTTTTAAATGTTAAAGATAGCTAAATATTTTTTATTTATTTTGTTTATTTAAAAATGATGTTAATTACAGATTTTTTTGTCATAACAGACATACATACAAAAAAGTATACATACGTATATATAGGCAGGGTAAATGAAAATAACATCTATCAAAAAAAGAAGTTTAAATACATCAGAATTTAAAAGAATTTATTGAAGGAAATATTGACATGTTTATAAAATGGCTTGACAAGCCTCATTTATTTTATTTTATTCATAATCCAACCACAGCTATAGCTTCTATCTCAACTAGTGCTCCTCTAGGTAGTGCAGCAGCCTGCAATATTAAAAAGTACTTCAGAAATCTCTCCAAAAGGAACTCTATTGACATGGCATTGTGTCAGCGTGAGAGGGACAGCGTGAGAGTGTCAATGGGCCATGGTAGGTGACAGTGGGACAGTATGACGCTTTAAGAGAGTGACAAAGTGACTGGGACAGTGTGACAGTGTTACAGTGTGAAAGTGTAGTATGTGACAGTGTGACAGTGTGACAGTGTTACAGTGTTACAGTGTGACAGTGTGAAAGTGTAGAATATGTGACAGTGTGACAGTGTGACAGTGTCACAGTGTGACGGTGTGAAAGTGTAGAATATGTGACAGTGTGACAGTGTGACAGTGTGACGGTGTGAAAGTGTAGAATGTGACAGTGTGACTGTGTGACAGTGTGAAAGTTTGACAGTGTGACAGTGTTTTCTAATTGGATACCTGATAAACTGCTCTAGCAGGGTAGTTTTCTAATTGGATACCTGATAAGCTGCTCTAGCAGGGTAGTTTTCTAATTGGATACCTGATAAGCTGCTCTAGCAGGGTAGTTTTCTTTAAAGAATTGTTTATAAATCTCATTCACCTGAAAGAATAGAACAATTTCATCATAAACACACTTTAAAAAATACTTTTTTTGTGATTTCGCTTACATATATTTTAAATTATAAGAAATGATAAACATTAATATTTTCATCAAAAAAATTCAGGTTAAGAATTGCATTAATTAAAAGTTTTGTTTTTCCATTCACAGAAACCATTTTGCAATAATTGTTTTTCAATTTTAATTCATTATTCGTCAGGTTACTGAAAATCATATTAAGAAGTATGTCATCTTTTTTGTTTTGTAAGTAAAATCATGAGAGTAATAGAATTTATTTACATTCGATTTGTCTTTTTTTGTAATATTACTACAAGAATGAATTACCTTTGTAAAATCTCCAATATCTGCCAGAAGAACTGTCGTCTTCACAACGCTATTGAAGGTACAGTTTGCAGCCTAAGTTACACAAATTGTTTTACTTTGTGATTTCAAGTGACCCTTCCATTTACAAGGATAATATGCATGCGTTACAATTGAACCTTTTAAACCACATCATCTAAACAATTGTTTGATAGAAAAGAAATACATCTTATTTTTGATTTAACATCGGTATGAAAGGTTAATATTGTAAATCAGGCACATAATAAATTTGACAGTTTTATATCAATTTCTCGAGACAGGAACATCAGATAGAACTCTCATGAGTCTGGAACAACTCATAGAACGCTTAGGTTTCAGCATATATCCCCTTTCGTTTTTCCTTTACTGTCCCTTTAAGCAAAGGTTTAAAAGGTACCTTTTGTGAATGAGGAATGTAACTTTTTTAATAGAAATTCGACTTTTCTTTAGCATTTTTTTTTACCACAACAAAGAGCATTGTTACGGGCACTCCATGTTTATATGTTGACCTGTAGAATATGCCCCATGTTGACCAGCGCCTGCCTAGCTTCTGCCTCAACACCTCCAGGTATAATCTCCATAGTTTCAGGGATAAATCCAATCTGTCCGGATACATACAGAGTATTGTCCACCTAGGGTTTAAACTTGTAAATCTTAAATCTAGTCAACGCTTAGTTAATGAAAATACAAATAGGAGCAGCCTCCAGTCAGACTAGGTAGGACTGTTTAAACCAGAACCGCGCGCAAAGGTTGGCCCAGCTCTGTTGTGTGCGAGTCATAATATGCTTGCAGGAAATTCACCCCATGGCTGTTTAATTTAAGACATCTCTAAAAATTTGGTGTTTTCCAACCCCCCCCCCCCCCAGCCCCACACTCCTCTGTGTTTTTTCTTAATAACTCCATAACAGCTAACATTAGAACGCTAAACATTCTTTGCTTTTTCAACATCATAGTTGTGAACAAATTTTGGCAAACGTTTTTTTATGCATAGAAAAAGGTGGAGTCAGTGTTTCAAACAAATCAGGTATGGTTTGTAACTTTTTTATTTTATGTTTGAAAAGCGCTTGAAAAATGGATGTAATAAGATGTGTAACACATGTTAATATTTGTCAAAAATAAATAAATATTTTTTAACATTTTCTTTTTGAACTTGTTTTGAATCAGCCCTTGCATCCTATTCCTAACCTTTAAAGTTACAGGTTTAATCTTTTAATGAACAGGCCTTGAAAATGTGGACTAGGGACATGTGTCACACTCCCCTATCTCAACTATAAGGGCAAAGTTATTGAGGGGGGGGGGTCCAATCTATATATTCGACAAAAATAGCACAATCGGGGTTATGGTTTCAATGGTACCATTGTTAATCAGGCATTGTCATCTTTGCAAGTAGGATCACTTGAAATTACGCTCACAGTCCCTTTAAGATATTTTTAATAAACCAATAACTTTATTTCAATTTCTTTCTAATCAAAGAAAAAATCCGGAATTAAGCCTTTTCAACGATTTTAATTTATTTAAGGAAAATGAAAATATTTTGGAAACAAAATTTAAATGTTTGTTTTTAATAATGTAAAATGAAATTTTAAAAAGTTTATCAAATACCTGAACAGCCTGGTTGTAAGGCCCAATCGCAGCTGGGGCTTTCTTTGTAGAAATTATTACTCGTCCAGCTCTGGCGGCCATATTGCTAGCTGAAGTAAAAAATTAAAATTCATAGGGTTAAAAGATAATTTTGCTGATTTGTCATTTAAATTTCCCGGATTTACAATCTAAGCCTTTTTTCAAGTTCGATCCTGTTTATTTTTAAAAGAATTACTGAATAAAAGATGAGAAATTAATTTTTTGTTTTGTTTAGATGATTTAATTAGTTCAAGATTGTTGAAATGAAACAAACTGAAATTTAAACAATTTCTGCAAATGAAGCAAACATTGCAAACCCGTACTAAAACTTTGTTGTTGAAAAAATGATTAAAACTAAATCTAAGGTATTATTTTATTCGAATAAGAAAAACTTGCGAAGATTGAATATTTTTAAAATCTAAATGGCCAATTGATTAAAGAACTTTCAAGCACTTGCTTTTATAGTTTGAAACAATAATTGGAAAAATTCTCGATTGATTTTTAGCGTAAGAGCTTGCAACCTTTGGATTAATGTAGCAATTGTAACTTTTTTCACATTTTTGGTGTACGTGTCACTATAGGACGATTTTTTATAACATAATCCTTATGAAAAAACATCTGAAAGGTCTCATTTTAATCGTTTTTACGGAGTTCCACTCAAAAAGTTATTAAAAAATAGCTGTAATTTCCTAGTATACGATTTTTGGACCCCCCCAATATGTTTATACTATGCACAGCAGAATTACAGACTAGTAATACAAGTCTGTACAAATGATTACTAAAACATATGTTTATACTATGCACAGCAGAAATCAACTCCTCTGCAGAAACTCAGAGCTGATTTCTATAGAGATAATGAAAACTTGATTAAAACTAGTTTTTCCAGTTTAATCTATAGATACAGGTAGACACAAACAAAACTAACTTATGATAACAAGATACAGGGTGTCCTCAATAAACATGAGAGCTGGTTAAGCCGTTTACATCGTTTAAATTACACAGTTACATAATTTTTGTAATATTTTCAATTGTTGTTTCTTGTACACTGGAGGTTCTATAGATCTATTGAATTTTTCCTTTTTTGCCAGAATATTTTAAATATAGGGTGTCCCAAAAAAACATGGGCATTCAGTGACGAATTCGATATCGTCTGAATTTTGAATTAGCATTGTAATACCTAATTTCAAAAGCCATAATATAATTATGTCTGCCTGCTATAGAGTTTAATTTATGATAATTCGGTAAATGGCTGTAAAGATGTGTCAATAATGTATCCGCTAGATGAACAGTGAAGACGGACAAGTTTACTCAGTTTGTATAATTTTGTTGTTCTACTAAGTACAACCGTATGCAGACTAAACATAAACAAACAAAATGTGAACATAGCAGACGAAACTCTTACAGATTACAGCTTTCTCAGTAGGTATCTCTATACTAAATCAAAGGATTATTTGAAAAGACGATATCGAATTCGTCACTGAGTTCCAATGTTTATTTGGACCTTGAATTGAATTTCTTCAAGACAGATGAGTAAATTTAACCTTCACATCGTCACATTTAATGAGTAGGTCGTCATTAAAATCGCTTTCTTTGCGGGTATGTTACAAAGTAAAAACCAGAGAACAATGGAATAGGAAGACGACAATACAGAACTACGTGTATGTATTTAATGTTGTTACTTCTAAGCAAATAATTTTACTAAACACTTATCAATTTCCACTAATTTAGTGAAATGGATCTGTTTACAATGCACAATTGTTATATCTCACGCTCTTTGGACTTTATAAAGTTATAACTTGAATTTTATAGTCGTCTTCATATTTCAGAGTTTTCTGGCTATCACTGCATCTATTTTTGAATAATGTGACAAATATGATCTTAAATTCACCAAAATAAGTGGTTTTCTTTGCCATTATTACTGAACTAAATGTCGTCTTGCTTTTACTGAACTTAAGGAAAATTATACGATGACTCTACGTAGTTTTCTTGTGAAATGTTTGTAAGGAATAGAGTATTCGCCTTACACTCTGATCCCCCCCCTCCCCCTATATCTTTGCAACCCGATGTTGTATACCTTTTGATATGTCAAACCAGATAGTCAAAGTTTGAAGTACGAAAGATATAAGGGATTACATCATATTAGTTTTTCTTGCAAGAATTCCTATCATGTCAAGGGACATACAAAGTTTTAGACAACATTCATAAACGTAAAAGTAACATCAAACATGCATACAAATGTATCATCTACTCTCAGAAAAATTAGAACCAATGGAAATTTAAACTTCCAATGATAATAATGCATGGTTTCAATGTTAAACCTAAGGACTACAGTAAGCATGCCATTCCTGTGTAAATAGCTGGGTTTAGCGTTGACAAGGGTCCTGCAAACAAAAGGTTTTTAGATAAGCAGGATTCAACGAAATTTGATGCATACTAAAATACCAACTTTCTATAAAGGAACTTGTAGTTATAAACACTATAACAAACACAATAACCAAATAAAAACTAACAATTTTAATAATTCATTATTTCAGAAGTGTGCAATGTGCATTGTGCATGATTTTGTCCTAAAAAGACTAGGAAAACCTGTTTTAAAACCTGCACTTTAAACTGGTCAATATATTTATCAAAATTTTATCATTAGATTATTATATTGAGGGCGCAACTGGGGATATAATCTTTTTAAATTACATTTTGGGCAAAATCTTGAAATCTTCACTTAAGGTTAAGGCCAATGTGTATTCATTTTTCAATTTGCCTCCGCAACCCCCCCCCCTCTCACTCCCTAGCTCCTTCTTTATCTCTATAAAGAAGAGGGGGGAAGTGTTTCCACCCCGTTCGTTTTACCTTAAAAACGGGTTACACTAGAACGCTCCAACTTTTTAACTTTTACATTTTATGCATATTGCATATGGGTAGGATGGAGTCAAACGGCTGGTCGGCATAATCTAAAAAAATCAAAAACAAAACTTTTTACAATATTGCAATTACCCTTTGATGTTTTTTTTTATTCAGCTGGTCCTGAACAGTTGGGATAAACTTAAATTAGCACAAAATAATATTAAGCAATCTATATCAAACAAAAATATCCCAATCAGGATAGGGTTAAGGCAGGTCGAGGGAGGGGTTGGGAGTGCAGAAATAAACTGCAAACGCTACCAAATGTGTTTTGTGACATGCTGCGTACTTAAAGATTTATTTTCGAAACTAAGGAGCATTAAAGAAAGCTTTAAGAATATTGTACACCGTAGAGCCATTAACAGAGGTCAATATGGTCTTATTTCTAACAAATAAACTGTTTAATGTTAACTTTTTTATTTCTGATTACCAATTGAGGAGCGCGGATTCCGCAAAACACGTTTGGGTGGCATTAGTTTACTTCTGCACTCCCCCCCTCGTCAAGTAAGTGCGCCTCTAAAACTTTCTTCGAAATGAGCCTCAACAGATATACTTTTTAGTCAGTGAGACATGAAAATCTGATTTATAATAAATCCCCCGTTAACAAAATTCAACTTTCTCCTGAGAAAAGAAAGCTCTGCATGTCTGCCTTTGGGAAATCGAGTTTATAGTTTACAAAGAACAGCTGATATTCAAAATAGTTGGAAGGAAATAAAGAAATGAACTCTTGACTTGACTCAAACACAAAGTGTCTAATCCACTTAGCTTTGCAACCTGACAACTAGTAAACCTTCTATATTCCGTAATAACACTTTTTAATCAAACAACATATTTCAGTTTGAGATCGATCCATCCTAGGTGTATTAATTTAAGGTGGGGGGTTATGAGTTCTGAGGCCGAATTTAAAGAATTTGAGCTGTGGCTTAAATTTAAGCCGCAGCTCTAATATGGTTGGTTTCAGATGAAATGTATTCACTGTTTCAAAATTTAAGCCGGCGCTCAATTAAAACCGGTTTTTGGCGGATTTAAGACGCGGCTCAAATTCATTTAATTCGGACACACCGTATATTTAAAGTATTTGTGAAAAGTAGAAAAGTTTAGACCTTTGTTAACTATTTTTAATTTTTTTCTTAGAAGTTCTAAAATGTCATAGTCAAATGTGTTTCAAAGATAATTGGATTCTAAATTATCGTGTAAGAGGTGATTTATCTCTACCTTTGAATGGTATGTTAGCTTGCTTCCAACCAATAATACAGTTGTTGCTGAAAAACATATCAACGTAATCACCACTAGATGAAAAACAATATATTCAAATTTAGTTGAACCTATCTATATTTAAATATTCTAGTTCTTGATCTTTCTTAAATCTTGATTCTTGATTCTTTTTCAAATATTCTAGTTCTTGATCTTTCTTAAATCTTGATTCTTGATTCTTCTTTAAATATCCTAGTTCTTGATATTTCTTGAATCTGGATTCTTGATTCTTCTTTAAATATTCTAGTTCTTGATATTTCTTGAATCTGGAAGCTTGATTCTTCTTCAAATATTCTAGTTCTTGATATTACTTGAATCTGGAAGCTTGATTCTTCTTTAAATATTCTAGTTCTTGATATTTCTTGAATCTTGATTCTTTTTCAAATATTCTAGTTCTTGATCTTTCTTAAATCTTGATTCTTGATTCTTTTTCAAATATTCTACTTCTTGATATTTCTTGAATCTGGATTCTTAATTCTTTTTTATATATTCTAGTTCTTGATAATTTCTTGAATCTGGACTCAATTGATTCTTCTCTAAATATCCTAGTTCTTAATTTTTTTTAAAATCTGGATTCTTGATTCTTTTTTAAATATTCTAGTTCTTGATATTTCTTGAATCTGGAATCTTGATTCTTTTTTAAATATTCTAGTTCTTATTATTTCTTGAATCTAGATTCTTAATTCTTCTCTAAATATTCTAGTTCTTGATATTTCTTGAATCTGGATGCTTAATTCTTCTCTTCCCATTCCTCCCTCTACATATGCGGGAGCTTGGGCTTACCGTTGGCCAGGTAATCTTGGAGGAGGGGACGGTTGAGTGGTTAGGTAACCTATAGAGGGAGGGATGGCTGGGTGGTGAGGTAACCTATGGAGGGAAGGATGGCTGGGTGGTTAGGTATCCTATGGAGGGAGGGATAGCTGGGTGGTGAGGTAACCTATAAAGGGAGGGATAGCGTGAACGTATAAAATGACTTTTTTTGCTGAATAATAGGTGAATTTTTTATTAACATATGTGTGGTATATGTATGGTAGTTAGCAGATACTTTTCTTATAAAAGTATAAGATTTTTTTGTAAAATCTTGATAAAAAAAA